TTTTAGATTTTGAAAACTGTATTTCTCAACTCCGTATAGTCGTTTGAATTCTAGTATAAAATTGAAATGAAAAATTGAAGGTAAAATTTTGATTTTTCTTATTCGAAGACGAACAATTTGTGGATAGATTTCAAGCTAGTGTGAAATGTTATTCAATTAATCTGTCGTCGGTCATTCTTTGCTTTGTTTCATTGGCTAAAGAACTATTTCTTAGTTGTGCTCGAGATAATGTAGATTTATTCGCTATTGTTCTTGATATGAATCAACAATTGAACGAAGTTGGATGACAACAACAACTAGAATCGAAGAAAAATTCTTCGAACTCAACCAACATTATGATACAGAATCATTGTTGGAAAACGATTCATACAATGGATATCGAAATGCAACAGAAACATAAATAGGTATTGAGAAAGAACGCTTTATTTTCTAGTTATTCGTCGAACACATTTTTAGCAAACAATGAATTATTATTTACATTTAATATAATCCATCCTAACAATTAACTTAAAATATACTACTGTATTCTGGTTTTAATTTTTTTGTATTAACATTCCGAAGCGGTCACATGGGCGAGAAGAAAGACTTGTCTATATTCATAGAACAAAAATTACTTTTTTGTTATTATTGTTTAAAAATGTTGATAGTTGATCAATCGATGTTTTCAATGGGTATTTTAAAGCATTCATATCCTTTCATCGTTCTCAAAAAAGATTATCAGTGCAATTAGTAAGACATTTCTTCTGCCGTTAGAGACAGAGTGGCGAGCAGAAATCTGAAAAAAAAATACATTTACATTCGAAATCTATCGAATATATGAGATTGTCAATTTTCAAATTGGTTGATCATTTGTTTGTACACGACATTTTCGCTGATCTTGCTTCATATACCAGAATCAGAGCTTTGAAGAACACTTTAGGGAAAATAATTTTTTCCGAACGACGACATTTTATGAAGATTAAAGCAATTTGTAATCATCCGTATAATAAATGCAAACCTTTCGATTAACATTGAAAGAAATGCTTTTAACTTATTAGTAGTTTATTAGAACGGATTCGTACGTGTATAATCTATATTCAAATATATGGTCGATACCGCTATTCAAGAGAGATTTCGCGAAAAAATCGAACGTATCTCTGAACGCTCACCGGCGATAAATTTTATATTTTTATTTGAAACTCTACTAAGAAAACTTTAGTTTATACTGATTGTTTCATCTACTTGATCATTATCTCATTTTATTCACAAATACACTGTAATTCATATGTAGACATTTTCTCAAAAAAGGCTAAAGCGATCGAGTCCATTCAAGTTTAATTTGATAATATCTGAGTTACTTTACGAAACACTACAAATTGTGAAATGTATTTGTTCTTGAGGTTTGGAACTATACGGTTCTGTAGGTTACAATTCATGAAAAATTTACGTGTTAAAAGGTCGTATTTTTCCTAGTTTTAATTCTCTGATAATTTCAATTGTCAAATCATCAAAAAATTTTTGAGGTATGGGTAGATGAAGAGGAGACAAATATCAACATACCCACATCCTGTATGGCATACTTTGAAACATGTGGTTTTAATAGTTTATCATTGTAATTTGCTGCCCTCTATCCCATTTTCTTATGATTAGTATATAAATCACCACTATAAATCAAAACAAGTAAAATTCTGTTTCTTATTCATTCAACTTCTTGACAAAAGCCTTGTTTACACTAGAAAAATAATATGGTATTAACTTCGTATTACATCGATGTACGTCTTCACTGGTCACTTTAATGCATCAATCAGAGCTGAGAACTGGCTACTATAATTTAGTCGAAGAGCATAATTCTAGTACGTGTGTATGAAACGAAATGTCACTTCTACTATATTTTGCTTTGTAACTAATGAAATTTTTTAACAAACTATCTACAATTTTGACTTTTTTTTTACTGTAGGTTTGCTCAATATTAGAATGAATGATAAAAAATAACTTCATTACGGCACATTCATCATTTTAATTAGTGGATCAAGTTCTTTTTCGATTGGTGCATTAACTTTAACATACACTTTTGAAATATGTATTAAATACCTTATAAAGTTAGCTTTTGAGACGCAACTTATACCCAAATTACAAATAGTGTCTATGCTATATCTACACAAAAATTTCATTCCTGAATGTTGAGTCTTAGTGAAACTGAATATATAACAATGAACAGTAGTCATTTCCTGTTGGACAAGTTTTTTTCCAGATGATTTTTCAAACTGGGTTATTTTTTCTGCAAATATTCGAAAAGTACTGAATTCATATCACGGATACAGGACAAGACGAGCTACATTTTGACGACAAAAGTTTTCTAATAGCAGAATATGTATATGAAGTGAAATGCTTATTTTATGACAGACACATAACAATGTTCGGGTGAACTCTTTATAAATTTTATATAATTAGTACTTTTTCTTTCCAAATGTCATATTCGAAAGAGCCTCTGATGCTACCTAAGATGGCAAATAATTTAAAGTTTTCGAAAAAATTTTTTTCAATTTTTAGAAGTCATTTTCTGAAAAATTTGCAGCGTCAGACGCTCTTTCGAACATAACATTCGGAAAGAAAAATTACTAATTATATAAAAATTATAAAGAGTTTACCTGAACATTGTTAGGTGTCTGTCATAAAATAAGCATTTCGCTTCATATACACATTCTGCTATTAGAAACTTTTTGTCGTCCAAATGCAATCGTATTGTCTTCTGTCCCATCATATAAATTCAGTCCTTTTCGAACATTGGTGGAGAAAATGACTACTGTTCTTTGTTATATATTGAGTTTTGCTGAGACTCAACATTTAGGAACGAAATTTTTGTGTAGATATAGCATAAACACTGCTTGTGATTTGGACAAAAGCTGCGTCTCAAAAGCTAACTTTATAAGATAGTTTTATGCAAAATAAAACTCCCCGGAAAAGTTATGTTCAGTATTGTGTGTATCAACTTTTACAGTGGAAGTAGAAAGAATATATCATTCAGATTGAATAGATCGTATATGTAGAAGCTTTTGTCAGTATATCGATCATTACATTTGTTTTTTCACTCTTTCTTATATGTGTGCTGAAGAAACAAAGTGTACAGCGAAAAGAGTGTGTTTTGAACTCGTCATAGGTTCTTTCGAGCAGCATTTTTTTGATCGTAGTAAAGTTCCGAATGACTGATGATGATCGAAAAAAATGCGAGATGCAGTTTCGTAACATTATCAGTCGTTTTAAAGTACAAAACGATGGTAAACAGTCATTTGGATTGATAAGTTTCTGATTGGATGTCCTCAATATCGATAAAATTTTCTTCTAAGACCACATTTTGCGAACATAATCCTATAGAATGGAATATTAATAAACGTTAGTTTGCCTGGAAATCTGATAGAAGGCACACAACTCCACAAGCTCTATTTCTTATCTGAATTAGAAACAGACATGGTTAACTGAGATGTAAGTAGTAAAATTAAATTTTCTGCACTTACAGAGTAAAATTTCATGTCATACCTGATACAAACATAGTTTTGACGCATCTCTTCGATCTGAAACAATTTTCGAAGTAATTTAGTCTCAACTAAATATACTCTGTAAAGCTAAAGATCGAAATGTAAAAGAATATTTTGAAGGTTTTTCGAATTTAATTAAATTTCCAGTTGAGATGAGGACTAAATAAAACCAAAAAATATAGAAACTGACCAAAAAAAAATGAAAACTCTATCCGATCATGTTAAAAGAAAAATCAGTAAACAAGTAATCACAAAAACAGAAATTGTAGATCAGAGTTATCTAAACTATTTCTCGTTTGTCTTATTATTTTTTGTTGCAAATTAAACGTTATATCATGAATAATTAAATTGAAAGAAAGTTTAGTTATTGATAACTTTAGTGCTCTGACGAGGGAACCTTCCGAGGTGTTAAAAAGCTTTTGAGCTCAAATTTCATCCACAAGTAGGAGATATGTAAAATAGCAAAGTCCTAAGATGATATGGGCGAAAGTTGTGATTTGACTGAGATATCGACTTTTTACTATAATTGTCCTATAGGAACGCATTTTTCTGCTTAAATCAAATTTTAGAATTTTGCCCACATTAGGACCTGAATCGGACTAGCTTGCTTACAAAGTTTCAGAATTTTTGGACAGATCATCTGCCAAAATATGAGTATATTAGCATAAAGACCCTTTTTTAGACATTTTGTGTTTTGCATAGATATTTTGAAAAACATACTTCGGACATGATTTGTCCAAAAATTCTGAAACTTTGTGGACAAGCTAGTTTGATTGAGGCCTTGATGTGGGCAATGTTTCAGATCAAAATTCTAAACTTTGATTTATAGAGGAAAAATGGATTCCTGTAGGAAAATTATAGTAAACAGTCGATATCTCAGCCAAGTCGAAACTTGTGCCATATCATCTTAGGACTTTGCTAGTTTATACATCTCCTATTTGTGAACGAAATTTGAGCTCAAAAGCTGTTTAGCATCTCGAAAAGTTTTCTTGTGAGTCGATCTGATCCCCGATTAATTATCGGTTTTATAAAATAGAGCATGATAGAAGTTCTTATACAAATTCGATATGTATTTTCAGACTATCTCAAAAGTCAATATTCGAGTGTACATAAAATAAAACTAGAATTTATCAAACACTTGAAATTCGAAGTTGTAGTCATCACCGAATTCTATACTTTAGTATGTATAGATGCTATTAATATCATAAATCATCCTCATGGTAATCGAGTTACTGCGTCCTTTGAACAAGTCAGAAACTGGCAATATACGGATGGTTACCTATATTTTAAATTACGCTGTAGCTACACCATCATTACGAATGTAACTGTGGACACTATTTCTAGCGCGAGTACGATTTTATGAAGACATAATTATGTCGTAATCCAAAATTTAGCAATCAGGACCTATCCATTCTATCGTTCAATTTAACAAAAACAAATATGTTTCTGATCAAATCGGCTCATTGTTTTTCATATTTTTCTTTTCAGATGGTAGACAACACTTCTACTCATGTTCGAAAAGTTGGTGGTAAAGCTAGAAAAAAAACCTGTAACGAGAAATTCAAAACTGTTTTGTTTTATGTTTTACAGGTGTTCGATTTACTGTCGATGCAAAAGATTCATCAAGCACACATGAAGAAAATTCACTTAAGACTGGTATTCGCGTTTTTTATTGTTGTTTTTGATTTTGTTATAATTTTCTTTTTTTATCTCTTTTTTTAGCTGAATTACAGTGGGAACAATGTTGTAATAATAAATGTTCGTTTGATTTATATTTTGGTATTTTAAAACTTTCCCATAGTTATACAATAACAATGGATGTTGTTTTTCATCAAGCTCCTATCGAACTAGAGACAATTCTCGATCATCAACAAATAGACGGGTTGCAACTATTGGTGACTGAATTTCCACAATTTCACTCCAAAAATCAAATCAGTTTTGAAGTTGAAGTTGTAATTAATCCAGAAACTATATCTGGACCTTTTCATCGAACCTTTCTATTGAGAGAAACATCAACAGCACAACAAAGATCTGTTACAGTAAATGTGCGTGGAAAAATATTACGCGAAGGTCAAGGAACAGCAACATTGAGACCTGAAGTTCGTATGAAATCAATAATAACAAAAGACAAAGAAGACGAAGAATGACAATAGAAATATATTTCGATGCTGTTGAAAAGAAAATCGGTGCTAATAATTAATAAAACTACTTGTGTGTTTTTTTTTATTTCATGCTTCATTTGAATATGATATTAAAATAAAATGAATGACATGACAAGTGTAATATATTATACAATTTTTTAGAATTCAGCAGAAGAGCCATTGTCAGATATAGCTCATTTTTGTCCAAGCATTTGAAAAAAAATCTGACTGGTCAACACATGTTTGAATTATTTTTTGCAAAACGAAGAATATTGAATAAAAATCTTCAAAAATGCATAACTTCAGAAGGAAACTAAAGGTTACAGACAACTGAGCAATGTCTCATTGTATAGAAGCCACTTAATTGTATATTGTAGCATCTCTGACTCGAAAATTTACAATTTTAATAAAATAGAAGGATGAAAAGTATTCATGAACAAATTTAGCTTTCAATTTGGATCGCAGTTAGCGAATGATGAAGAAAAGTTTGTTTTACTGATATATTAGCTACAATAAGTCAGTCTCAATAATAAAAATCATATCACTATTAGATGACTAATTCTTTAAATTTTGAAATCTACAACTATAACTGGTGCAATAAGAAACAGTTAGATGTTCAAATTTTAAACGTCAGTTTTGATGAGTTAGAAACACGACACTTTAACAGTAGAAAAAGTTTTTTTCGTATAACTTGAGTAAGAAAGAGAAAATCGAACATCAACAGAAATATTAAAAGTATCGAATGTAACATATTACTCTGATTAAATTTAAGAGATTGCAGCAGGGTTGTAGTATCGGTACTCTTGTGTATTTCGAAAATTTGAAAGACAAGACTTGAACTTAAACAACATTATCAATTAACATTTAGACTTGTTATGTTTAAGAATTATCTACGTTTAGTTGTTTGTCTTTCAAAACTAGTGCATTATAAGTTAAGAAGCAGAATGTTTTTTTAGTGACTAAAATTTCGATCAGCAAACATCTGAAAAAAAGCATGTTTCGACTCGTGAATTGTTGTACTTTAGAGTAAAGAGCTGCTCACTGTAGAACGGTTAGCCTCTCAATATACTCTCTGTGGCGAAATAAAAACGAAAGACAATTCCAAATTCATCCCTTTTCCTAATACAGAGTTTCATGACATTTAACAGAAACATAATGGCGTATAACAATGGAAAAAACAATTAGAGAGACTAGAGGAAACGATTTCCACATGTTTTTTTACTTCGTTCAAGTGACACTAAACTAACACTCTTTATTATGTGTCATGATTTATTATACCGAGAATGTTTGTTCATAAAAGATATGAATCATATAGTTTTATTCTGTGATTATAAATAGAAATCAGAACTTAATGATACTCTACAGTTTATTTTGAAATTTTCGACGAAAATATCATTTTTATTTGAAATTTATTTTATTATTTATTCTCGTATTAAAATAGTCAAATATGAATTTAGTTCAACTGTAAATTAAATCTAAATTAATTTCATAAGAGAGTGAAGATCAGTGGCGCTGACAGTATGTATATTATTTCTATATCAGATATAGGGTGCGCGTGTATGGATTAAGTGAAGATTGATGCCCACACCCAAATGAATCGAATTCTTCATTGGTGTGATCGATAGGGTGTATATCTGATTTTTCAGATCTTCAAAACTATTTTAAAATTCATTTCTTATGGACCTAGGCGTGTGGGCGTAGGTCATTTTTTCTCAAACGTCCGCATCCTTCGTTCACTTTCAAGGTTCTGTAAAAAGGCTGAAACTTCTTCCCTAGATTGAAAGACTTGGATGTGCAGGATGAGCATGAGAATGAACGGGAAATTTTTATTCCTGCCCAAAACTCACACCGAGCATTCATAGTTCATCAAATCCTTCACGAATTTAGTGTTCTAAAATATTCCTTCAATGCAATCAATCCTATCCTGCGGATTCAGGCGTTTTTTGTCGCAATCGATTAATAAGAGCGGTGAGTGCAGGATCAGTGTCGGTAGTGAGAATATTTTGCACTTTCCATGGTCTTGTGGAGTGTGAGATGAAGGTCTGAAAGACACAAAAGATCCCAATACCCACCCTCACTCTCAAATTTTTTCAGCAAATATATACTTTTTTTTGTGATATGTTTAGTCAAAAAATTGAGCTTTCTAGTTGCTAGATTATATTTTACTAGAAAAGAATCAATTAGATGTTATTTGAATTGAAGCTGTGCCATTTGATTACATTTTTTGCATGTGCCTTTTCTTCCAGCTGCACAACGTTGATAATCATGCGGACCTACAGACTCTACATTTGCATCTGGTTCATCATCACTGCTATTGGTATCTTCATCGCTTATTTCGTAGAAATCATTCAACATCCATCGGCACATCCAGTCTAAGGCAAATTCAATCTGTTCATCTTCAATGAAGAATACTTGGCACTGTGTATTACATCGTCGACAACCTTGTTTTTCTATAGTAATTTGAACAATGCCTGTTTTCCATTGAGCTCTCCAAATAATTGTTGTGAAGGCTGAAGTCCACTTTTTTTTGCATTTGTGACATTGAAATCTTTTTTTTTCAGAAAAAATATACGACATCCAAGATGAAGTTTACACTTACTTAGCTCTAGCATTATGTGTTCGAAAACGCCACTTTTGTTGTTGTCCCTGAATTAAAGCATTTCGACTTGTGTCCACGTTGTCTGGTATTCTCTTAAGAATCCATCCGGGAATTTTGTAATAATCTAAAGTTTTGTAAAACTTCGATGCAAATGGTTGAAACCAGTTATTTTGCATCATGATTGTAAGTGTTTTTAGTCTAAAGAAAAACTGAAATAGTAGACAAATACTTAGCTTTCTTGCAATATAAGTATGACAGTTTTATTGTTCGTGAAGATAATACACGAAGAATGAGCAAGCACATCCAGACGCAACTCGATTATATGATATACATTTGGTGTGTCTGTAGATAAGTGTTTTCGTTACTGCTGTTAATAGATAATAATCTAGACTTTATCAACGATCAAATATTTGACTATCATAAAGAATATTATACGAAAGATATCAAACGAAAAATATTCACCAACTTGTAAATTGTTAAAGACGTTATGAATATTACAATTTACAGGCGAAAAATATCCAGAGTATTTGTTGATTAATCGCGAAACAGACGCGAAATATGGAAGTATACTCTTGATTCTTTTTATTTCAAGTACTTGACACAAGAATATTCTCTAAGATATAGATAATTCAATAGACTGCCATCCGCAAACATCATTGGCGAATACTTTCTGATAGATCAAATGAATAGTTAATTTTGATATAAATGAATTAACCTCAAGTCCAGTTCAACAGTTAGAAATGAATTTATGTCAAGTCTTAATAGAGATGGATAAGTCAAATGGCAAAAGAGTGTGTGCTGTGTGTATGGAATGAAGAGAAATAGTACATTCACATCCGAAAATTTTTCTTAGTTTCCGTACGAGAGAATCACTCAAATTGACATTCGTCGTTTGAGCTCATCTTGAGCTCAAAAGAAGACTTTGCTAAGACTAGTAAAGTCTAAAAGAGTTCATCTCTATGGTCTTTTGAAGATGAGTTAGGATTGTTTTAATGAATTTTCAACCCAGATTTAGATAGATGCCAACAAAAAACAAAATTTTCGACGTGAAATTTTATCCCATATAATATTCTAAAAGTTTCGACCGAAGATAATGTTCTTTTGTCAAGATATTGAATTTCCAAATTGTAGTTGCTTCCTACAAGTATGATAGAAAAATCGAGTTTACTGAAAACCTCAATATCTCGACAAAAAGAAAACATTCTTCTTAATGTATGATAGTCTTCAGGAAAGTAAAGTACCGACGAATATACCCTGATATTCAGTTCAATAAGAAAAATAGTTTTTACAATATTCTAATAAATTAACGAAAAAAATTGTTAAGATTGATTATGTAGAAATCCTGGTTTTTTTGTAAAAGAACATGCTTATAATCATTGTTAGTTGATGCCAGGCGGGTATGAAGAATTGTTGGCCCAAAAAAAATCAGATCATGTCATGAAAGACTGACTTGATCTCGAGATCTGATTGATATGATTGTTCTACTAAAATTAGTGACCAACACAAAATTTTTGAAATTTTGTTAATTTCATTCAAAAATGGATGTGCGTGAACAAACGATTGCCTGTCAACAAAATATATGACTAAAACTTGATGAATATTTGAAAAATGTGCTTTATTAGTGTATATCTCTTACCAACTGTTCAGTAATCTAATGGTTATATTGATGATTTTACTTTTTCAATGTCAACTGTGTTTGTAATTGGTTATTTTAAATAGGAAGAATAGAGCATGTGTGTGATTTTAATCGTTCTATTCTTGATTTTTGTTAAATCTCTATCTACTCAATTTTTCATGGAAAAGTATTCATAGGAGAAAGTACGGGAATGTTTAGATAGCATTCAAATATGTATCTTCTAAGCATAAACATTATATTTTTTCTTGCTCTGTAATATGATTTTTTCATTACAGAAATATTTCTTTTACATTTTTGATTATCAAAGAAAGTTTTGAAGCTTGTTTTCATCATGTGCCCGTAGTTATTCAAGAATGATAAACACTCTATTACAATAATAAAAAATTAGCTTTTATAAATCTTTATTTTGAAATTTAAAGCACAAAAATATAACAGCCATTCACTTAATCATCGAGTCACTACAAATCACTTTTATCATTATGTTCTTATTATTACATTCTGTTCATTTGAGAGAAAGGTCATAAATCCGTTTTTCTCATATGTTAAATAAGTTCAATTTAAACTTTTCTAATTAATACATATAAAACTCTTTTAAATTATAGTAATGTTCAATGATTCACGTGGTCATTAACTCTAGTATTTCATACATGATATTTTGATAATGTTTGCTTTCTTTTCCTTTTCTCTTGTATCTTATAAATGTTACATAGAAAATTAAAATTTAGGATATTTTCAAAATTCCATCAGGAAAGATCAATATTTTAATATCCGAGAGAACAGATTAAAATCTTAATATGTCTTATCGATGAATTTTTAAATTCTCGTCAAATACAATGAATATCTACTATTACTTCTATTCACAAATGTAGATGTCATAACACTTCTTTTCTTTTAAGTTTTCATTAAAAGTGAAGAAATAATGCTATGTATGTTATTTCGTGAGAGAATTCAAAATTCTCTGAAAGAAAATTTTAATTTTTCTTGTAGCATATACATATCACAATGAATTTCCATTCTCATAAAAAGCATGTAATAACAGTAGGATGATAAAAAATAACTTGAAATGAGTGACTACAAGCTTTTCTAGCCCGAATAAAGCGTATTTCTATTTACTGTTTTTCATTACAAGCAAATTATTATATATAAAAAGAAAAAAAAAATTTGTTATATTATGACAAGAAAAAGAAGTTCAACCGGTTCCGTTATATAATCCTGGATTGTTTAATGTTGAATTAATACTAAAAAATATTTCCGTTGCTCGATCATTCAATCCATAAATTTTTGGCATCCAAGTCGTTGCAGCCAAGAAAATAACCAAAAACCCCATAATATTCATAACAATACCAGTTTTTACCTAGTAGTAAACAAAGATTTCATATTTCTATTTGATATAGAAATTTTACCATATCAATCACACGAATAGTACCACTAGCAAAAACAATAGCATTTGGTGGTGTTGCTTAAAACAAAACAAAAAATCATAAATATAAATATTTCTTTTTTTTTCTTGTTATCAAACTTCACTTATTTACCAATAGGTAACATAAAAGCCAATGAAACTGCTAATGTACAAGGAAGAATAAGAAATGCTGGATGCATACGAGAACTACGTGCCTAATGATGAAATATCATTTTATCATATCAAAATGAAAAAAAAAACACTTACTACTGAATCAAGAACTGGAAAAAAGATACTTGCCGTACTTAAATTTGATGTTACTTCAGTAAATAGACCACTAATAATAATAATTAATAAAATAACAGCTCCGTGTGGTACACCAGATAGAAATCGAAGTGCTCGTGCAACACTTTCTGATAATTTTGAAGCCTTATGAAATCAAAAACAAAAACGAATAAACTTGATTATCATTTTAATTTATTTAAATTAACAAACTTGAAAAGCTGATGCAACAGAAAGACCAGCACCAAGTAATATTAATGCACCCCATGGCATATATTTTGCTAAATTATTCCATGCAACTATTGGTACATATTTCCAATCCTCTTCATTAATATCAAAAAGAAAAATTATATTAATATGATATTTTTAAATAATCTCACTTTGTAAAGGATTTGCATTTGGTAAAATTAATGGAAGTATTCCACAGAATATTGCTACTGTTCCATCACTTATATAATCATCTTCAAATATAACTTCCCATCCAGGTGTACCCGAAAAATCTTTTGTTACCCATAAAATAATCATACACATAAAAACAATAGCAACAGATAATTCACTCCAACTTTAAAAAGAAAACAATAACAAGAATCAATCTTATACGAAAAAAATAAAAATTATTTTCTTCTCTACTTTGGTTTTCCAAGATCCTTATATTGTTTAACTAACATTGCTTTTAAATCATCTTGTACAGCTTTAGTTTCTGGATCTACACGAAATTGAAATAATCTAATTAAAACAAAAAACAAAAAGATTCAAAACTAAAAAAAAAAAAAGAAAAATATTTGTTCAAACTCTTTGAAATTATAATAAATTTGTAACCATAACCAACATAGAACAAGCATTGATAAAGCCACTGGAAATGCAAAGAGAAGAAAATTAAGAAAACTTATACGAAAAGCAGTATTTTTGTATTGACTAGAAATAGAAGAGATGAATAAATAAGAAAAATGTCTTAGTTTGTGTTTTTTTTTAATAATTGACCTATCAGCAAAACCTTTGACAAAAATATTCGGTGCTGTACCAACTAAACTAGATAAACCACCAATAGTTGCTGAATAAGCAACAGAAAGAAGAAAACCTATAAGAAAAATTTGTGATATTTGATTTTTTATTTTTTTGCATAAATGTATTACAAATTACCTTTTCTTATTTTTTCATATTTTTTTTCGCTTGATTTTACAGGCACGAGTAGATTTCGATTTTTCCATGGCAATTGAAAACGTCCCTTTAATGCTCTAGGAATTGGTGGTTTCCTTGGAAAAAAAAAGTTTGAATGGATATTAAAAATTTTGATTCGATATGTTCCAACACTAACGGTTCTTCTATATGTAATGAATCTAAAATAACTTCTGTTGAATATTGATTATTGACTTCTGTTTTTGTTACATCAACCATTTCTATATTAAAATATGAATGTTATTATTATTATGTTTCTATATTATCAGTTTACCATTCACAGCGGCTAAGCCTTCTTTGATACGATTTTTCTTTGCTTGACTACCTTTACTATGATTTTCAAGTTCATCTACAATTGCTAATGCTACGGGTAACATAATCGATGCTGCTGCTGAATTATTAATCCACATCGAAAGAAAAGCAGTTACTCCCATTAAACCAGCCATAGACCTGAGCGTATTTAAATTAATAATTGAAACGAATATAAAAAATAAAATAAAATAATTACCATTTCGTTGATGTACCTACCAAACTCAATACCAATAATGCAATCCGTCGATGAAGATTAACAGATTCAACAGCAAAAGCAAGTGACATACTTCCAAAGAACAATGTAATTATATCTTTAAAATAATGTGGTGCTACACGGTCAGCAGTTAAAATACCAGCCTAAAGATATATCAATATTATCTTAATTGAAACAAAAAAAAGACCATTCATATAATTCATATATACCATCGGAAAAAGAGCAAGTGGTAATAAGGAAGTCACCGGTAAAGGTAATGCTTCAAAAACCCAATAAATAGTTAGAATAATTACAATAAAACCACATCTTGCTTGCTATAAGAAAAACATTAGAAAAAAAACCTGAGAAAAAAAAAATTTTTTAACATACAGAAGATTTGCCAACAAGTGGTATTGGAAGAAAAATTAAAGGTGTTAATAAAACAATTAATAAACGCCATCGTGGTTTTAACCAATTTAAAATAGAAATCATTATTACAGATTAGAATAGAAATTTCTATTTGTTTTTACTCAATGAATCTGTATGAAAGAGTACGATACGACTAAACAGAAAAAAAAACAAAATGATCTTATTACGACCTAAAAAAAGATTTGATTTTATAATTGAAGGATGTACATGACGAAAACATCAAATAAAATAGTAACATATATGATATTTCACTAGAACTAATTTAATCAACCGTCAAAATAACACGACTTTATTAAACTTGATATGTCTATACAACGAAACTAAAATGCCAACAATGACCATGATGACTAATACATACATCGAACAATATGTACTTAATCATAAATTAAAGATAATGTATGATGAAAAAATAATGAGACAAATGTCGAAATCTATTTCTCTTCAATAGAAAGGTACTCAATAGAAAATATTTTACCAAAAGATAGAGCTTTTTCTCTTCTCTTTCGAATCATATAGAATTTATTTTTGTCATACACTCATAAAAAAAACATCTTATAAAACGATAGTTAATTGTTATCAATTATTGTTTACAAGATATTTAAAAATTATAAATTTATTGTGCAGATGTTTTTCTTTTTTCTCGTCTCATTTCACTTACTAATATATGACAAATATGAATCATACATTATTCGCAAGAGAAGAAAATTTCTTATCAATTGATAAAAAAAAGAAAATATTCTTTTCAGAACTAATTTATCGAAAAGATATAAAGATCGACATTTTATGCGCCCTTTCATAGAAAAAATACGGATGCTTTTTAAGAGTGTTTCTCTTTTCTGTTGTGTCGTTTTGTTTTTGAATGTAATATAAAAATAAGTTATATATACGATTCGAAAGAAGAGAAAACATTCTATCTTTTAGTAAAATATTTTTCGTTTAATACTTTTCTATTGAAGAGAAATAGATTTCAACATTTATCCCATTAGTTTTGCATCATATATTACTTTAAATGTAAAATCAGAAAAAAAGTAATCAAGAGAGAAAGAAAATAAAATTCATAGGTGAGATATTTTTCAGATTTCTTTGATTTTTCATTTATCAATTTTTATTTATTTAAATCATTCATTCAGAAATATATTACTACGAATTTTGTATGAAACGACAGTTATTGAAATCAACAATTAAAAATAAATTTTGTAAATAGATGAAAATGAAATTTCTTTTCATAGAAGATGTTTCAATACAATAATATAATAATGATGTTAAATGTCATTATCAAATTTCTTTGTTTCACTTATAATCAATTATATAACTTTTATATGTAGAATCTCTTTTAAAGAAATTAATGCTTATATGCCCTCCTAGTATTCAGTCACACACACTTATTTTTTAGTACATCACAAAGATTGTTTAATCTATAATTTTACAATAATCCACTGTTAAAAAGTAAAGTTTTTATCAACAGTGTAGTTTCATGCAGTCTGTCAAAATAACAAAAAGAAAAATAATGGTATCTATAACTATGTGTCGAACTGCTGAAGAGAAAAGGTCTATATGATAATTAAAAATTTGCAAAACATGATTGATGAAAATGGCAATTGTACTCCCAGTCAATTTTTCTGTACGCTGAGTGATGTTATGATATCAAAGCTTCTGATCGAAACCTTGAACTTTTTAATATTAGTAAAAAAATAAACGTCATTATTTTTAGAATAGGAACATTTCTATGTACAATACCCAAAAAAAAGACGACTAGTATTTCTAACTTTTGATTACGAAAAGTTTTTTTTTTTTATTAGAAATAAACATGATTTTCAGAATCAGTATGAAATAAGATACAGGAAACTTTATTTCATAGCAAAATATCTGTGATGAAAATTTTCACTCTACACTTTCTCTGTTTTTTATTCATCAAATTTTAGACTGTACTTTGATTGAAAGTCTTTTACAATGAAAGATAAAGTTGATAATCAAAATCTAGAAATATTAGCCATTTTGTTTTTCGGTATTTTATATAGAAGTGATCCCATTCTAAAAATATTGATTTTTTTAATAACACCGAAAAAGTTCAATGTATTGTTGTGGTATCTTTTATTGTCATATCGTTCACAATTAAGCAAAGAGCAAAAGAAGAAGAAGTTTAACTGATGAAAAACGTGTCACTTTCGTTTCTAAATCAAACGTGTTTGATGTTTATTTGCGAACACATCATAATTTCTTGCTTGTTGATAAACAACAACACAATGTTAATTTTGCTATCAAAACACAGAACAATGTCATAGAAAAATTTATAGATATTTTAAAGACTTCAACTAGAGAGTGAATCTGAGATAAAATCCTCTTTCGATGAATAGATATTGATGATTATCAATAAGTTTGAACTAATCAAGAATCATTGACAAGATGTGAAGAAAATTTCGTATCTCACAGATGACCACTAAACAATCCTGATCTCAATATTCCAGATTATTATGTGTGAGACGTTATCACCAACAATATTCAATGGGATAAAATTAAAACTATGATTTATTAATTGATGAAATAAGAAAATGAATTGATCGTATACTAAAACATGATCTTTTTCGCAGCATTAAAAATTGCGTGCACAGAATTTGTCTTTGTAATACAACGTATTAAGCGATTGAAAATTGAAATGGAAAACACATGACCATTTAATCTGTTCTCTCGTTAAATGAAGAAAAATTATTCTTGATTATTTACAAGTGTATAGTTAGAGAAACTGGAAATTCTTATAAATTAATAAGACTATAATAAACCGACAAAAGAGTTCTATCAACTTTACGTTATATAAATAAAACAGAAATAATAAGAAGTTTGTTCTATGATAATTATTGTATGTTTTGCATATTACACATGTACACTTAAACAGAAAACAAACTGATCCATCGTTGATGTCAAATATAGATATATAATATTAAATAATACAAAAAGTTCATTTGTTTTTTTTTTTGAAAAAAAAATTCTCAATTAACGTAGAAGATTTGAAAAACAATCTATTATGTCTAGCTAACATACAACACTCAGCTGTTTTTTTTTTGTTCTCTATTGAAATATTTAACTGCCTGCAGTATTATTCATTATCTCTACTAACTTTCAATGTACTGACTCAAGAATAATATTCGATAGAGAAATAATAATTTGTTTATCTCAAGAGAAATGATATACTACATGGACATGTATGGATCATAATATAATATATCCTTATCTCATTAATTCGAAGAGCATTGTCATGTCATATAATGTGATGATAGAATTTATGCGTAATAGTGAAAATTATAATACATGATTTATTCGATAAGAAAATGTTCTTTTTCTTATTGTCGACTAAATATTTTTTTCGTTAAAACAGATTATATCATCTATCTCTAGATAACGCAGTAAAAAACAATGTTATATTTTATGAAGCAACAAATATTTATTATACTTATGTTTTCATATTTGACGATTGTTATTCAATTAATAATCATTCGAATAACTTTCAAAGAAATCCATTTTCATGAAAGTGCAAAAATTACAATTTCAATAAAAGTATGAAGTACGCACGAAATAATTCTTTGTCGTCTTTTTTTAGATTACTATGGTTTTCTTGAATAATATACTGAAGATCTGCGATACAAAATTCAAGAAGAAATCAAAAGATAAATATTTAACTTGAAAATAACCCTATAGATACCAGGATCTCCTCCGTCTGAACTTGATTTTTTTCTAATTAAAACATCAATTAAAATAGTACTAATTAAATTCGATTGAAAAACAAACTTTTCAAACAATTGATTAGAAAAAGACTAAAATCGATGAAAATCGATCTTTAAAACGAAAAAAAATTTGCTTTCATATAGCATCATTGTAATCGATTTTCACTCAAAAACTAAGCATTTTTATTCTGACTTTTTATCAAAATTTCGTACACGGGTTTTGTACCTCGCAACTGATAACAATTAGAAATCCTTATTATGTGAACGTTTCAGAAGTTTCATTTAGCCAACAAAATAAAAGTAGAGCATTTTATTCGGTTCTATGACGCTCCTGATCTACACACACAACGTCGAGTACACTATCAACTGCATTAAGTGGCAGAAATGTTACTGAAATAGAACAGTGTTAATGATAGTCGTCAAGAAGTTGGAATATCCCCGAACGCTTCTTGCTCTTTCATTTCAATAAGGTAATTCGACTTGTCATTCACGCTGCTTTTTCGTGTAATCACTATGATAATAAATTTATAACAATATTTTAATAAATGACTGCAATGATTGTGGAATTCCATCGTTTTAGGAAATCCTTTTTGTGAAAGAAATATACTTTTTAATAGTGTCATTTTAAGTTGAACCGAATCGAGTGGGCATGAGCAATTCTTGACTCGGTATGAACCATCAAAAAGTGACCCGATTTCAGAACTTATGAATATTTGAATATTTAAAAAACTTTGAAACAAATGATTTATATCATAATCAACCCTTACTATTTGTTATAATTTAACAAAAATATTTCATGTTGTTTTTGTTTTATTATTCACATATCAAAAGAAAAAAAAAGAAAAAAACAACTTGACAGTTGAGAAGAGAAACAACAACAAAAACCAAAAAATGTTCAAGGAAAACGACAATGAATAAAAAAGAAAAAGATAAAGAAAAACAAACCAAACCGATATACACACGGTTCTTCTTGTTTAGGTTTTGTTTTTTTTTTTTTTTGTAAAAAGAAACGTGAAAGAAAAGAAAAAAACCGAAGAAAAAGAAAGAGCAAAGCACGCGACAAACAACACAAAAAAAAAAATTTAATAGAAAAGATAGAACCAAGCGCATGCTGTTGAATGAATATCTCAAATCTATATACATACGCACATAAGTTCTTCTTTTTCTCAAGCAAAAAAATAAAATCGTTCCTGTTTCAAAAGTAACTATTTTTATTTTCTTATGTTTGATAATGTAGGAAACGAACGGACATACACACACGCGCACACACGAGCAAAAAAACCAACGGACGAGGTTAATAGTGTGTATCAAAGATATACGTAAAAAAGAAGGATAAACGTAAGAGAGAAAAAAAAAAGAAGAAGAAAACAAACATGTACAGACAAAATCAAAATGAAAAAGAAAAATCAAACACACTAACGTACAGATGGATCTTGTTGTTGTTGTTGCTGAGTAGAATATTGAGAAGGTCGTATTAATGGTGGTCGAGTTAGATTTGGTGTTGAACTTGTTCGTGTTATATAAGTTGATGGTGGTGGTGTTGAAGAATTCGATCTTAATGGTGCTATTAATGTTTGTGGTGATGGTTGACTTTGAGTTTGCTGTTGCATTATAGGTGTATAACGAGCACGTGTTGCTGTTGTATAATTAGGTGGTGGATTAAATTGTTGTTGAGGTGTAGTTGAATACCATTGTTGTGGTTGAATAAATGTTGATGATAAACGATTAGTTGGAGTTTTATTTAATAATGATGAAAACATAGGTTGTGGTTGTGGTTGTGGCTGTGGTTGTGGTTGTTGATTTTGACCATTGATATCTGTTACTTGTTGATCATCCATTGATGAATCTTGTTTAACTCGATTAATTAATAAATTTAATTGATTTGGCGATTGTTGTTGTTGAGATAAATTATTAAGTGGTTTACCACTACTTGGTTTTTGTGACATGATATATGTTGGTTGTGGAGATTGATTATGCCAATTTTGTTGCTGTTGAGGTGTACGAATAAGTGTTACTGATGGTTTACCTGTTGAAGTATTATTTATTGTTGAATTTGATAATGAGGAATCATAAGTAGATATATGAGAAGAATTTGATATTGAATCAGAACGGGATGAAGGAATTGATACTAAAAAGAAAATAAATAATTTTTCAATATTGAAAGATTGTTGGTTTGTTTTTTTCATATTTAGATAATAACTGAATATGAATCAAATTGTATCTAAGATAAGAAACAGCTCATTTTTAATATTTACTGTATTGATTTGAAGTTTTTTTTTTTCGTAATATTTAAGATTCTAGACAGAAATTGACTGTCAAAAGTCGATATGTAAATTTAGAGAACGATGTTTAACAGAATAATTAACATAGCTTGTGAAAATTTTACATTACTATTGAAAACATTATCGAGATTTATTGGACTTTCAATAATCTTTATCTATATTCTCTATCGCTGTATAACTATGTTAACCATCAAAATAGCCATTAATGAGAAAAGTCTTTCCAATTGTTAAATCGCTTTAATCATGAAAAATTTCTAAAAACAAAAAATTATTTACCTTGTGGCTGTGATTGTGGTTGGATTGTACTAGTTCTTTGTTGCATCATAGCTTGCATACGACGTCTATCTGTTTGTAAACTAGTTGCTCGTTGTTTTTGTATTTTAGATTTTAAATTCGTACAAAATGGAACTTGACAATTTTGATCCATACAACTTTTTGCATGATACCAACAAAGAAATATAACTTGTTTACATACATTACATTGACTATTTTTTCCTTTACATTCTTTTGTATGTTGTATAACACGTTTATAACGAAAACAACTACGATTAACACAATTAGCATTTCGACAATTAACAGCATGTAATAATGCTTCAATACAACGTTGCATTGATTGTTGACGTTGTAATTGTGAACTAGCTAGAGATTTACCATTAGGATTTGAAGAATTTTGATCACAATCTTCAACGATTGATGGAACAGAACGTTCCATTTTATGTTCATGTTTTGGTTCAATATTATAACATTTTTCACATAGATCAAAATCTTCACATATTGTACAATGATAACGTATATCACATTGTTGTCGACATGTATTACAATTATATGTAAATTTATCTGTTGTTGATGTATGTAATTCATATAATAAAGCCATTGTGGAAAATCTTGCACGACGTAATGATGAAAATTCATAATGTTTATCACGAGCAAAATTTAAAAATGCATCTCGAGTATCCATTAGATCACATTGAATAAGTGCATCAGTATCATTTACAGCTGGACATGATGCTATTGGATTACGAAGACGAATAACAAAAAATGCCTAGAGAAATATAGATTGATGAAGAAATTTTTTTTCTTTTTTTTTTTTTTGAAATTATATTTTATATAATGAGAATTGCTTTTTGCTTGAAACTATTATTATTCAATCGATCATGATGTTTTGTAAAAGAGTCTGTTTTGATTTAATTTTCACTTGTTACGTTAATCGCATTTTACTCGATTTTAACTTCACTGAGAACCTGGATGATCAAATTTTGTCCATAGATAGACTTTATAAAGTCATTAGAAATATTCCAAAGTTTCAGCTAGGATAAACGTATTTGTACAAGATAGCAACTTATCATAGAAACGTCCTTTGTTTTGAAACGCAGCCGCTTCTTTGAAATGTAAATATCTTAGCAAGAACACGTTCGTTTTGGCTGAAACTTGGAAGCGTTTCTAATGACTATAAGACTTATCTATGGACAAAATTTCAGTTCGAAAATCGGTTATCTACATTCTCAGCATAAGACAAAAACTCACGTGAAACGTCTCATAACTCAACAAGTGCAGAATCGAATAGTAATAGTTTCAGATGAACGGCAATTGAACAGCTGGGAACATTCATGCGTCACTGACAGAGAATCAGAAGTTAAAAAAAGCTCAATGAAAACTTAGTCAAGAACTCTCATTCACTAGTCTATGATAAATTTCATAAGTTTTTTCAATTCAATATCTACTGATTTTCAATTAGCACAAAACTCAATTTGTGGTATATTACTGTTGAAATATCAATAGTACACAATAGAACTTAATAGTACATACATCATTAGGTAGAGAAAGTCTTCCTCTACAAACCTATGCATATCCGGTTCTGGAGTCAAAACCTTATAGTATTTTGAAAGTTGTAAACGATAAGTCTAATTTGGGGATATGTTTTGTATCACGAGCCTATGTGCTATCTAATTGTATAAAGTCCGCTGTTTGTCTCTCTAATCGTATACAATTCGTTAGTAAAAATATAAATTCCTAATTACACTTTAATTAAATTTAGAATATAAAAATATGTTTTAACTAATTTATTATTAATAATTTACCTCTTTGTGTTTTTCCATAGTTGAAAATATTTTCGATATTAAATCAGTACAATTTGACATTTGTTTTTTTGCTACTTTTCGTTGATTTGAAGTTGTTTTCTTCAAGTTTTTCTTTTTATATGTATTCGCAGATTTACGTTTATCAGAAATCTATATAAATATAAAAACGAAAAAATAAACATAAATATATTTATATTGTAGACAAAATTAAAATTCTAATATTGATCGAACACACATCAATTAGAGATGAAGTTTCAGTTTTGTCTGAACAAAATTAAAATTCAATTAAAGATAAATTTATACAATAGAATAACGAATTTTTTTCTTTTTCTCATTCAATAATTTATAAGACAAAACATTTTAATCTTTTGTTTTTTATTCGATTGTAAGGTGTATAGCCTATATTTCAACTGCTTATCTCAAAACAACATTTCATTCTACTCTATTTTTAGTAAAGTATGTGATTGTATGAATTTATCTCTAATTGAATTCTAATTTTGTCTATAACATGATGTACACAATAAAAAAAAAAAGAAAACAATATTTCTACTGACTTCTGTTGGATCTTCTGGTTCAATAGGATCCTCTAAACCTCCATCTTCCATTGCTCGTGCTGCTTCAACTTCTTGTTTCCTTCGATCTTCTTCTTCTTGATCAAGTTCTTAACATAATTAAAAAAAAATTAAATAAAATTCTATTTTATCATCAATAATAAAACATACCTTTAATACTTTCTTCTATAATATTTGCCCAAAAATCACCTTCAAAATATGGAATATTAAGAGCAGTTTGTACTTGATTATCCAAACAATCTTTCATAATATCCTAAATTAATAATAAATAAAATATAACATTCAAATAAACATTCTAACTCTTATTAATTATAACTAAATTCCTCCTCACAATAGAAGACATTTCTCAATCAATATTACATCCAGCATGAGAGCCGAAGGAGCAACACCCTTTTGAACAGCGAGTTTGCCCTCTCGAAGTTTGTATTTATTATACCATGTACTATATGTCTAGGCTTCCAAAAGTTGGTGTTTGTCGTTTCGGGGTTTTAAATCGCCTCTTCGAAAGAGAAAATCTCGATAAAATATTGCCCTTCTCTAAAAATTGGAATTCTAATTAGGATATTTACAGTAGTAGACAAAAATCTTCAAGAATGTAGGTCATTGACATTGCAGTGTCGTTATTGTTTAATTACAAAAAGACAGTTAGGATGGGCGGTACCTGTTGTTGTTGTTGTTGTCAGCCTCATAACCTCGGAAAAGAAGAATATTTTATGTCAGCCAATTCCTCAATATGTAATGGTATATGTCAGCTATCTATAGTAATAATTTCATTGAAGTTCATCAATCCTTTCAAAGACTATGCTCATTGTTGTGGAGAGAAAACATCTACTACCGTTTGAACATCAATAAATTAATGATAGTTCAATGAAATGAATTCAAAAGCAAATCTTATACAAAAGAGAAATGAAACTTAGATAATAATCTTGTTAATTTCAAGGATCCAGAAACATCAATATTCAAACAAATGAACTTAGAATTAATCATATTTGTAGTAATAAACAATGCAAAATTTTGTAAGTAGTCTTTCTTTATGTTATAATGCTCAGAGCAAAAAATAGATTCCATCCATCATAACTATCTATGAAATTAAGCAATAACAGCATCGCAATGTCAATGACCTACATTCTTGATGAAGTATGTGTACACAAATTTTTAGACCTTCAGAACATACAATGACCGAAATCGCCGTAGGCGAACACTTTTATCCATTACTATAGCTTAAAATATGTCCAGTTTTCAAGGTTTCAAGTTGAAAATCTTAAAAAACTGTAGCCAACATTACCAACGACCAAATAGATATTTTTGTCTATAGAACTTTGTTGAGTGCATTGTGCTGATCATTTTGGCCAAAAATAAATATTCAAATTTACTCAATAAATCATGATACTAGAATTAAAATACTCGAAAAAATGTCAACAAGCGATCACGAGAAAACCTAATCTTAATCAATAATTTGTCTCATAGATTTTATCAAATAAAAATTGTTTTTTTTTGTGTGTGTGTGTGTATGTATCTCTCAATAAATATTTAATTAATAAAATCTTTACCTTATAATCAATAACAACACGTTCAACAATAGCTCTATCAAGCATTTTTTTATACCAATCTTGTAAACGTTTTGGTTTTGGTACACGTTGTTCAGGTGGATGACAATGAAATATATAATCATCACCTTCACTTGGTGGACATGCCCATATATGTGCATAAACATATCCAAGTTGTTTAGCATAATCCAAATATCCAATTAAAATTTCATGATAAACATCTGTACGATATTGTTTAGGTCGAAAAAAATGTACTGAATCCAAATAAGATACATAAACACGTCGTGTATTTGGTGCTTGACAACGTCCATCATATTCTTGTACATGCATACCAAATAGAACAACATCAACACCTTCAATTTCTTGAAAAGCAAATATAGCTTTTGTTCGATATGGATAACCATCAGGTACTTGATTTGGATAATATTTTTTTAAACGTGGTTTTACTTCACATATTTTATCACTAGCTGCTAATATACGAATTGTAACACGACCTGTAGGACAAGCTTCATTACGTAAAAAATCATTAACACGTTTTTCTAATCGTGTTGCTAAATCAGTTACTGTTAATTTTGGTGCTATATAACGATTGTCTTTACGTTTTATATTATATTCATTTATACATGTATTACATATAAAACCTTCAGGCCATATTTGATCTATATGTAATGCACATACTTGATGCCAACGACGTGTACAAACAATACAATCAATCATTGTTTCAGGTTCTTGTATATCATTTTTAGCTGATAGAAATAAATTTTTTGGTATTTCAACTAATGTTTGAGCTGGATCATCACCGACAAATATTGATTCATTTTTAACTGAATCAAAACATTTAGCACAAAATGTATATTTATCACCGGATAAATTTATTCGTGATGGTTCTGGATTGTTATAATAATAATAATTACCATCACGTGGTATTTGACAACATAATTGATTACCATAACAAAACATAACTTGTGGTAAATATACATATTGACGACCACAACAATAACCTAATGATTGTACAATAGGATCAATAGCTTCAGCAAATATTTCGGAAAGTTTTGTACACATTTTATAAACACGTGTAGTTTTTTTATTATAAAGCCATGCATTATTAAACATAAGCCATGCATCATCACAGAATTGTAATGGAGTTTTATATTCTCCATGTAATAATTTATTATGCATTGTTGATATATCCATTGGATGTTTAACTATTGTTGGATAATCAAGAATATTAAGTGCAACTGGATCAACAGGTTGTCGAAATGGATTAGAATCTTCACAAGCAATCATTTTATGAATAATTGGTTCAAGATGTGCACGTAAATCTTCAGGTGTAAATTGTACAGGATGTTTAGGTAATTGTTTACTTGACGCATCAATTTGTGGTATTTTTGGTTTTATATCATCATTAGTTGATGATTCTGAATGAGATTTAATCATTACTGTTGTTGTTGTTGTTGTTGTTGTTGTTGAATTTGTTGGTAAATGAGAATAATTATCATGTGGAATTTCTTCTTTTTTAATTGTTGAAAATGTTGATGGCTAAATTTATAAGAAATTAATTAGAATTTATAATTCTCAATAGTATATATATATATAAGGTGCTTGTAATTCTAAATTTCAACAGTTTTTTTTTGTAATGATTAGATAGAGCTCATCGAATTACGAAAGAAAGAGTATAAGGAGTAAAAATTTAGACTCATTTCCATTCTTCTCACAGATCTTGACAGACACCAGTCAGAGATCATTACAGGCACCTTAACAACACCCCTGGCATCCCGCGTCAAAGATCGTATATGAATTACGTCTCGTTATAATAAATGAACTACTTCCTTATTGCATTTCTGCAGGATAATACAAAACGATAGTTGAAGAAATGTTTTCGTAGAGATTGTGCAAACAGTTTTTTTTATTAAAATTTTGAGTTAATTTTCTCTTATATTTAAAAGTAACGAAGTCTTGAACGATTTTGTGAAATGCTCTTTCTTATACAACTCGATGAGTTCTATCGAACCATTAAGGAAATTTAGAATTGTGAGTATCTTACATATACTATAAAAACCTAAAAATTTAACTATATCGATGTGTGCACGTCAACGGCAGCCTTTATTTCTAAGCTAAATGTCTTATAAGAAGGCTTTTGAGATTGGTTTTATTTGATATAGAGAACAACTTATTTCAAAATCATAAACTCAAAACTTTAATGACTTTCAATCGATTATAATATTTTTTTTTTGATTAACTTATCTAAACTTAATCTGATAATCAGCTTAATTAATTCTTATTAGAGTTGATTATATTAAGTATGATAAATTATTAAAAATTCTCTTGATTCTATTTTTTAATGGCTTCCATTTGAAGGTTTCGAAGCCAAATAAACATTAATAATTCTTCAAAAAAAAATCGTAGTTATCTTTCTCTCGTTTAATATCATATTCATATTATGAATAGAATTTTTTGAATGATAATATACTTATTTAAAAAACAAAACAAAAACGAATAGGTCTTTCATCAAGTATCAATAAAAATATCATACTTGATAAGAATTTTTTGGTGAAAATGCTTCAGTTTTAAATTGATTTGTATCAATAGTATTTCTTGTTGTATCCATCATATCAATATCATGAGTTGTATTATTTATTGTTGTATCACCATTTAAAAGAAAATTTAAATTTTCATTCGATGGAACATTTGTTATTGTAAATGTTCCTGATGTTGAAGTATTATTATTATTATTGTTATTATTATTATTTAACATTGTTCGATTTGTTAATGTCATTAATGGTTCAGATTTAATTGTTTGTTGTTGAAGAATATTTCCAGTTGTTGATGGTGTTATATAATCATTTAATGGTGCTATACGATTTGGTGGTAGACCCTGATCACCGGTCATTGTATCTAAATTTGAATGAATTTTATTATTAAAATCATTTGTTGATGATATTTGTCCTGTTGTTGATGATATTTGTGCAGCTAATTGCATATCTTGTAAACGTTTTTTTTCTCGACGATCTTCTAATTCTTTTTGTATTTTATAAATTTTTTCAGCTAATTTATGAAAATATTCTTCTTGATTATTAGCTACTTCAAATGTATCATTTTCAACACGTCGTGCATAATTAGCTAAGTTAATAATACGTTTATCACGCATAGCACCTGTATCAGTTATTGGTATAAGTGCCGTTATAATTTTTTGTACAAGATGATGACGCATTTCTTGTGTTACACGTCTTTGCCATTCTTTATTTATTGTTATGGGTGTTGTTGTCGGATTATTTGTATTATTATTATTATTATTATTATTATTATTATTATTATTATTGTTGTTATTATTGTTGTTATTATTATTGTTATTATTATTGTTATTATTATTATTTGTTGTTGTTTGATTTAATTTTGCTAATGTTGATGGTGTTTTAAGTGGTTGACATATAGGACATTGAGGATTATTACATTGTTTCCAATGTAAAATAATTTGTCTTGATGTAACACAATGTGCAACTGTACATGTTTTATGATCATTACATTTTGTCATATGTTGTAGAACACTTTTCATTGTACTACAATGTGGTAATGTACATGTACTTGGACGTGTTGGTTCACCATTAATTGTTTGTTTTTCACGTTGTTGACATTTATGTGCATGTAATAATAAAACAAGTTGTTTTTGAATAAATTGTTTACGTTGAACTTCAGTATGTTGTTGTTGTTGTTGAGGATTATTAGTTGATGATTGAACAATCATTTGATTTGATGGTGGAATATTATTAATTGTTTGTTGTGGCTGTTGTGGTGGTGGTGGTGCTTGTTGAGGTTGAGTTGTTATAATATAATTTGGTGGATTAGTTGAAGTTTGATCCATCATTGAAGTCTAAACAGAAAGAATTTCAATGAAAAATATTCGATTATCTGCTTTTTTTTTCTCAATTTTGGTGGTATCTGTATGTAATAAAAAAATATTTCTTATATATTAAAGCTATGATCATATAATGGCGACGATCTGCTACAATTAATAATATTTTAAAAGACAATAGCTACAGTGTGCGTCAAAAGTCTGACCTCACTTTTTTGTTTTTATCCCTCGATAGTAGAGGTCGAGTACTATCTGTATACATCTGTTTAATACAAAAAACTATAAAATTATATTGTTGTTTTAAATTTCAGTAAGGTCCAAGTAATTTAAAAATTGAGTAACATTCTTCCTTTGATATTTCTTACATGGTTCGATAGAGCTCGTCAAGCTCTACAAAACTGTCTGTATTAAAAAGATTTTCAAACTCTTCTCTGAAATAAAATCGCATTTTTCTATTTTTTTTTATATGAAAAATGGACAATTTTTTTTCATATAAAACACCGAGATTTTTATACACTCTTTACATACTTCTTTGTAAATTTTATTTTAGAGAAGAATTTGAAAATCTTTTTAATATAGACAGTTTTGTAGACCTCGATGAGCTCTATCGAACTATGTAAGAAATATCAAAGAAAGAATGTTACTCAATTTTTAAATTACTTGCACCTTACTGAAATTTAAAACAACAATATAATTTTGTAGTTTTTTGTGTCATTTTCAGTTAGTACTCGATCTCTACTATTTAAGGAAAAAAAAAAATTTTTTTTAATTATATTGAATAGTTTTGATATAAGACTCAAAACAAAAAAGTGTAGCCAGTCTTTTGATGCGCACTGTATTAACAAATAGAAGTGATGAATTATTTTTACTTATATATAGATTCTATCGTTTGCACAAATAAAGATTTAATTAATTGCTCTTATTCGAATGGAGATTAAGGGCCCTCTTAAAAAAGTCGATTATGTGATTTCTAGCTCGTTAGATAGAGCAAAGTGTCTACTTTCGAATGCACTATAGCTTATTGATTTTGTGACGAGATTTAAGGATATTACATAGGCCTTTCTGAACATCCTACAGAAGAAAATAACGGTTTTTCTCAAAATAGGATTTTTGATTTTTACGATTCTGTGCGTCTCAGATTTCTTCGCCATTTTAAACTCTAGAAAACTGGGCTTGGTATCAAAATGAAAGCAAAAACCAGCTGCAAAACTTAGCAAAGCTGGTTTTTTCGATTTCTCCCATTAATGTTTATAAAAAAACTAATTATTCTGGATCTATATCCCTTGGATTTTTCATACTTCATTAGAGAAATTTTCTAAAAACATAAACTACGACAAAATTAAAAAATCGAGCCCTATTAAATTATAGCACCACATCTTGGCTACATTTTAAAATCCACCCGACCTTTCTAGTATTTGAAATGGCGGAAAAATTTAGGACGCACGGAAATCTAAATTTTGACCTATAATCTTAAGTCTAACTCTTCGTCAACCCAAAGTATCGAGCGGAAATTTTTACTGTGAAGTATCTGGCTCGAGATACACGTCCACTGAAAGTTTTATCAAAATTGGATGCTCAGAAAAAAGTTTCATTTTTGATGGGAGGCTCCCTTAATTTCCATACTGAATGTCCGCTAGTGAATGATGTTGAACATAATAACTATTAGATGAAATGATCAGAAAAAAGAAGTATACTTATTCATAGATGCTGCAGAAGACAATAATATTGAATAATTTTTCTTAAATAAAACTGCATAGATAGAATTGATCTACCGGTAGACCGAACTTCTATTATCACTTCTGACTATAATTAAATATGTACAACAAAAAATTATAGAATTATTTATACCAAACGTATTAAAGTTTTTTATTTTTCGCATAATTTGTTTTCATGAAATTCCAACAAAACTTCATTATATATTTAATGAATAATATCCATTAGGGTCAATAAGAATGTTGCAAGAGTCTTGATGAAAAGTAAAAAAAAAGTAAAATCGGTAACAGACCATTAGGCTGATAGATCGCCAGATAGGTATCGGTTCTATCTATGCTTTTCTGTACAAGTTTATTGTTATCTATATAAATTTCTAAAGTTTATTTTCTCTCAACTTTTTTTGTGATAAATTCAGCTTCAAATCTTATCTCAATCATATTAGCATAAATATTTTCGGCAAAGTTCTTCTCATTTGATGAAAGAAAAGTAAAAATGATATTTTTGTTTTTTTTTGTAATTTGAATAATGTAGAATACAACTTCAAATTCAATAAATCAATTAATATAAATACTTCTGAACTGAGATACATATTTTCTAAATAGCCTTGGTTTTTCAAGGTTTTTCGTATTCTTTTGTCTATGAAATATTTTAAAAAGAAAATAAGGAATTAGTACGAAAATCTATATCGATTTATAATTTTTTAAAATAAAAAATTAACATGTAAAAAGATCGCTTGATGCATTTTCCTATCGTAAAATATTCTTTTTTGCAAATTTCAAGTTTTGTTGAAAATTAGATATTAATATTTCCGTAAAAATAGATGTTCATTATGTTCTATGAAAATTGCTCACTATGATAGATTTTTACTAACGAAGGAACACTTTTCAAATGATTAGTCATGTTTTAAATAAAAGTTAGTAGATTTTGGATATGACCATGAGAGAAATCCTTCTTATTGACTATGTGTCACAAGAACTGCCTTTAGCACTTGAACAAAAGAAAAACGTAGTAGCTTGTGGAATAATAAACAAACACTTTTCGCTGAATATGTGTTCCGCAAGGGAAAGAATACTCTAGTACATGTGAATCGATTGATGTTTGCGATCAGGATTTATTATCTCATGCGGTAGGAGAGATGGCTACTTTTGTCTATGTTTAGGAATATCGATTTAAAAAAAAAAGAAAGAAAGTAAACTTTTATGGTTTCAGGTTAATAAAGTTTAAAATGAATTGAAGAAAGGAAGATTTTTTGTTTCTTTTTTGTCTTAATATTAAACTTAACATACTCTTAGATTATAAGATTGTAGAGAATTTTGTTGTTGCATATGAATTTGTGGTTGTTGTTGTTGTTGTTGTTGAATTTGATATTGATTTAATTGTTGTTGTGTTAATGAAGGTAAACTAGTTGATATTGATTTATTTGTTTGTGTCACTGTATGTTGTGGTTGTAAACCGATTAATGTTGATGATTGTTGAGGATTTGTTACAAATACACTATTATTATTTGGATCACTTGCTTTAACAATACTCATTTGTGTAACATTTTGATTCATTGAAACCATTCCTGATGTATTATATGGTTGTCGAATAAGTGTTGATGATATATTTGTTGGTTGCTGTTGTTGTTGTGATGTTGACATACGTGGATATACAGGTCGAGATGTATTCATCATTTGTTGTGGAGTATAAATAGTTGAATGTTGTTGTATACCATTTGATATAACATTTGTTGGACGAACAATAGTTGATGTTGGCATTGTTGGTATACGTTGTAAATTTGGTGTTTGATATGATGATAATTGTGGTCGAGTTTGTTGAATATAATTAACTCGTTGTTGTTGTTGTTGTGTTTGTTGATATAAATTTGGTTGTTGATTTGTTGATGTAGATGTTTGTTGTTGTTGTTGAGTATTATCAATAGGATCATTAAAATCATTTGTCATATCGAATAAATCTTGTGTATTATTTGTATCGGGTGTATCAAATTGTGGCATCATTTTATAATCAAATTCTATTATACAATAAAAAAACAGAAAAAAGAAAAATATGTTTTTTTTTTGTTTTTTGACTTTAAAAATTTAATTTCTTTTTTTTTTTATAAACCTGATTCGTTTGAATTTGTACCCGAACGAAATTTTTTTGTTGGTGGTTGTTGTGGTCCAAGAAAGTCAGCCATTATCCATTATTATACAAAACAAAAAAATTTAAATAATAAAACTAATACCAATCATCTATAATAGATTAAATTTTTTTTGTTTCTAATCTACACCCATTTATTGTAAATATTTGTTACGGATACTTCTATACATATGCCCGAACTATAGAGCATACATAACATTCAGCACAAAAGCGGAAGTACTAGCGACAGCTGGTGGACATACGATCATTTTATATATATGATTGGTGAAAGGTTTTATTGTAATGCATTAATGTTTTATATAAAACATTTTTGAAAAGGATAAAAATATTTTACAGATTGGTTGAATTATTTACCTGTAAAAGTTTCTTGTTTGTTTCTTTTTTTTGTTTTTACTTTTTTTACGTGTTGTTACATTTCAAATAGACAGCTGATGAATATTTGAAAATGATGAATAAGTTATATAATGTGAACAAAAAAAAAAAAGTAAAATGAAAGAAATAAAGAAAGTTATACACGACTATTTATACGATAAAATAATACTTAGGAAGAATGAATCATTTGTCGACTCGAAAAATATATATATATGTGTTGTATGGAAAGAAAATATTTCGTAATATAAAGAACGGAGAAAAAAAGGTTTAGACGATAGAAAATTATGTCTAGTAGTGATTGGAAAATATTCTACTTTTTATTATTAAGAAATATTGAAAATTACAAATTAGTTTGAATTTCAAAAAAAAAAAAATGTTTTTGACACAGAAATTATCTATTTGGAATAATAATGCATTGGATCGAGACATTTCTTGAATATTTTTTTTTTAGAGTCTTCAATAAGTTATAAAACTGAAAAACAAAAACTAAATTTCTTTTCAGACTAAAATTTATGAGTTGAAAAGTACCGAAAAGGAAAATGTTTTTATTTTCATTAATAACACAGATTAATTATTTTGATATTTTTGTCAGGTTGATAAATACTAATGGGTGGGAGCGAAGGGATAATGAATAGCTTCGATGCTGTTTCTATAGAGATGTTTTCTTATATGATAATAAAACAAGCTTATTTTAAAAAAGAGCCACGAGAGTCGGTAGCTCTAAATACGAGCTTTCAAACAAACAAAAAAGTTATTGGCTACAATGAAGCTCCTTCGAGGATTCTCGGAGATACAATTGAAAACCTATAAAACGAAAAAGATTTTTAGTTTTTTTCAAAAATGGTTTATTTTTCGAATGCGAAATGACAAAAATCTTCAAAAATTTTTTGGGAAAAACGAAGTGCTGAGTAAAAATTTTTATCGTTTATGAGAAATTAAATCACGAACTATCTTTTCCTACATTCATCTTAGTTTCCATCATTCTGACGAAAAGTGATTTTTTTTTAGGGGATTTAAGACTTCGGATAAGGGAAATTGTTTTTAAGTGTTACTGTTTCATTTTTCCGATCATTAATACTGCAAAAATCTGAAATTTCTATACAACAATTTTGAGAAAAACGCAAAAGAAGTTTTTTTTTATATAGTCTTTCTATTATTATTTAAAGTGAAATTGAAGCATAAATATACAACATGTCAATCGGATGAACACTTGCCTATGTACATTAAATTATCCTTGTACGAGAATACATCACTATCTACCATTATCTTTATATTTGTTATACCATTCACCAACATCATAAGAACACAGAAATTAATTTTTTTAATTAGTTTTTTATCTTACAGTTTTTTTTTAAAGGCTGATAATGATGAGAGAAGATCCACAGGCATATCCTCGTGTCATTGTAAACCTCAGAGGTGTGCCTTTAACCAAAATCTTCGAGAATCAAAAAACTATTTTTATAAATTTGCATACTAGGCAAATCAAGCAACGTATTCATTTTTTGATGAAAATAGAGTTTTCTGAGTAGGGAAAGGGGGACTTAAACAGTCATATCAAAGATGTGATATGTATTTTAATTGAACTTTTTATTCATTCTGATATTATTCAAAGAAAAGAATCATGGTGTTTTTAGGAACTTCTTAAAATGTCCTTAAGTTTTCAATTATATTTAAATCTAGTGAAACATTATCACATGAGAATTATGTTGAAGTTATTCTTTCTTATGCATAATCATTGGTATGGTCTGAAGAGAAGTTCATGCATAAACAGCTAGATTAATACTGTCACTACTTCACACTTATCAAAATCTTTGTAAATTATGACGAATGATTAAGAAAATAATATTCTACAAATCCAAATATTCTAATAAGAACTGCCGAATTGGCAGGCCGAGCCAAAGTTATTGGTCTGATTCTTACGTTTTAGAAATCGAAAGTACTTTGACAAATTCCTTCGAATCCAACAACAAATGCTTGAACCAAACATCAGTTTAGTATTGTAGGACTTACATCGATTGACGGGAGCATTTATTTAGAATCAAAATAATCGGATGGTAAATTTTGCGTTCGTATTACTGCGAAAATTGATTGTCAAATGTAAATGTCCTTGTCTGGTATTATAAGTATCGTTTATTTGCATTTTTTCGATTTTACGAAACAGAACTAATATGATCAAAAACATTGTGTTAATTCGAGTGTTTCCTGTATGAAAAACTTTTATATTGTCGTTTCTCTTCAATTTACTATTGGTGTGCAAGAATTTATTCTTATTGTTATCTTATCTTTATAGAAATAAATTAAATGAACAACTGATACTAGAATGATACATTAACGCCGAGTTCTAGAATTGAACGTATTGGTAAAATGAGAAGTATCAATCGGTCTGCAGGCATTCCGAATCAGGCTAGAAAAAAGTGGCTTGCTAACAGTTCTGATTCTAATAGATGACAAACTCTTGTATTTTTTATTTTGAAAATTAATTTACTAGAATAATGTATCACATTAGTACAATAATAACTTATCTAAGCAAACTTTTGCAAAGATTAATTAACAAAAGTTGAGAATGTTTATAAAGATCTTCTTTATCTTACTACAGTACTTATCAATAATAATTCAAAAATATTTCATAGGAAACGATCTTGACAATAATTATAAGATATCGTTCAAATAATATATAAATGTAGAAAACTGTTCAAACTATAGTATGACTTATGAAAACACTCCTTCATCACACACAATATTGAATTATATAGTTCGAAATACTTCATATATTACAAACAATTGATCATGATCGTTGATATCTTTCTTAATTTTATTTTGAATTATTTGATTATATAAACTATTTATGATAGTTTTTGATAGGTTAACTATAGTGTTAAATTAAAGCGCAATTAAGAGTTAAGTGTGGTTTACACAATCTTATAGATTTAGATTTATTTTAGCTACATAAATCCTAATAGAGCCACTATCTGAACATACACTTTAAATTCTTTCTTCATTATTCTATGAAAACTTTGTTATTTTTTTTAATCAATCTAATTCTGATAATTAAAATATTAGCATTATAATCTTTGATAATGAGTATTGAACAAATCGCTGATTCTAAAGTAGTGTATATTCTCCTTTAAATAATCATTCAATATGATTAAATACAAATTATCGATTACAAAATTGAATTTACAATGTTCGTTTTCAAAATCAGAATTATTTTAGTACTTAAATTCAACTTGCAAAATACAGTTATTTAGTAATCTAGCGTATGGATCAGATATTTAATCATAATTTTTCAATGTATATGAAATAAATGATACTTCTCACATAGATGTCTCAAAAGCAAGGTAATCACTTGTAATTACTTTTCTTATATTTTTTTATTTGTATAAATATAAGTCATAATTTAAGTTTAGACTTCATCTAATCTCAGCTCGAATGAAGGATTCAATTTAAAAGTAAATTGTTACTATTAGTTTTAAAATCGATATTGAATTTTGACTGAACTTTTCGCTTAATATGAGTTTCGGACTGTTTAATTTCGAAGCCATCGTCTATTTGTATTCGAAGAAACTGAAAGTTGATCAGTTAACAGTACTTAAAAGATGAAAGCAAGATGCATTTCAACAATTTTTCAATAAGGTTTTTTTTGTATAAAATGATTTTTTTTTTACTTTTAACAATTTGTTGATAGAGATTTCAACTAGATTTCTAGCTATTATATGCAAATGTGAAAGGTGCTTTCCATCTTGAAGAAAATCTTAGCATAAATTAATACATTTGACTACAACAACAACAATATAGCGAAGTATTTTTATGTATTATAGGATACATTTATTGTTAACATTAACTGTGCACATGTATAGAATGAGAGTAACAAAAAGCTAGGAAGAAGATCAGTTCAGAATATATTGTTAAGAATAACAATCATTAACTAAAATTCTTAACGGCAACACGAAGTATTATGCAAATAGTCTGCGAGAAAGTTTGCCAAAAAAGTAATGTGACGATTCCTGACTGAAACGGCTGCCCTTATGCTACCTGTTTGTAGTTCAACTGACCTCTTGATTATCAGCTGACGCAGTCTGCATTTCTCTGTTTTTATATGTGATCACCATGTAAAAAACATTTTTGTAAATCAACAAAGTACAACTAGCGACATGAACTAGTAGAGTTAAATGTCATGAAGATAGAAAAATTGCTACCTCCCTCAGCTTATCGTCACGTACCTGTTCTCCTCAGAAAATGATTTGCTTTCCAACTGAAAGACAATACATGTAGCTAAGTTGCTAATAAAAAAGCTGACCTTGGGCCGCACACAATTAAATTAACTGTGACATACATGGAATTTCATCAAATCCATTCCAACGAAAAGAATCGCGACATATAAAATTCGAGCACAGAGCATAGACAACACGCAGAATGATTCATCTTTGTACATTATATATCTACCTCATTCATCAAAAAAAGAAAAAAAAATTAGCGTTATAATATGAATTAAAGAAATATTGGGTAGCTCAAGAATCGTTTTCCTTGAGCAAAAAGTTTGAATGTCGCCGCTATACTTCGATCGATCGTGTTGACTTTTTTTTTTACCATTGATAAAGCAACTTTTCGTGTCTATATTCATAAGCATAATATCTTAAAAATAAATACCACTATGAAGTATTAAACAGGAACTATATATACTCCTTTATCGGTGATAAAACAATTACTGTAACTCATTGAATAGTACTGGTGAAATTTAATTTTGAGTTCGTTAAAGATTAAACCGTACATGATATCGTATATTTATGATGTTCTCTCTTCATACAACCATCTCGGACAAAACCCGAATATATAACTGTTTACTTGATTTTATAACAAGAAAGAATTATTTTTAGTTCCCTTAACATTTCCACTTTGATAATGAGCCGATATCCTTATTAGCCGTAGTCCGCTCGATAAAATGCACCAGACAATGATTGAGATGGTATAGATCACTTTCGCTTATTTTATTTTAATGTTCACAATACCTATCAAAGGTTGATAATAAATGAACTGTTAGTGTTGACAATTGATATACCATAGCCTTCATTATTAACAACCTACAGTTGTTTTCATTGAGGTGAACATGACAAAGATAAAGAAGAAAAGACAATAGCATTATCTAAAGAAAATTGAAATGAAGCGTACTGCTTGATAATATACTTAAATATTGAAAATTGTTTTCATCAATTCGAGCGTATTTATTTACCATTCTGAATAAATCTCATTTTTAATTCACTATGATTGTTTGACTTGAAATAACAAAAAGAATAAACACGTAGTAATGATTAGTAGAATGAATCGAATGCACACTAAGTAGCACGGAAAATCATTGCAAAGTGAATGAATTGGAATATACAATATTCATTCAGAATCGGCCGCCAATGAAATTGATAACAGTCGGATTGGGTACACATGTAGTGTCTTCGGACAAGCTTATATTGACCCTTATTGTAGAAATATTGATTAACATTTTCGTTAGGTATTTAGTCACCTACATCAATCATACTGCTCATATAACTAATCTATTTAACCAACTCGCAGGCTTTTTTCGAATGGTGGTGCAACTAAAACAATCTTCTTTGCGGTATAATCGGCCTCAACCGTGACTGATCAATGGATTACTCAACTCAAGTGATCGTCAGCCTATAAAATTTACCAACTAGAGAATGGCTATCTTCCCCACCACCATACTGACTGTTTTTTAAGGGATTATATATCTTTAACCATATCAATCTTGCTCACCCAAAATCTCCTACATGAGATTCTAAAAAAGCATATACATATGAATGACAACACTTAGTTATTAATGAAATGGTACGAGAAAATCGATATGTCACAGATAGATAAATGCCATTTTATCTTAACACATCGATTTTGAGAATCTCCATATTCTAGACATACAATATTGCTGATGTTCACGACAGATATGCATGTAAAAAAGCTCGTGATGAAAAAAAAAATTTTTCCTAATTATTTCGTCGTATCGAACCAGCATAATGTGTTATTGCATCACCAATTTCATTCTCTTCAAAAAGTCAGTTTTGTCAATGTCTATTTAGAGAGAAAAAAATGAGAACAGAATTTTTGAAAAAAAAAACTAATACCTGGTTAGTTTCTCGTGCCTCTACGAGGTGCTGTGCTCCTGCATTGCCAATTTTATTCCCACGAAGCTCGAGTATTGTCAATGTCTATATGAAATGATGATGAAAGTAGGCATGAAGGATTTACAAGATATTTCATAGAATGTTACCTGAATAATTTGTAGTACTCCCGCGAATTTCTGTGCTCCTGCATCAGCAATCTCATTCTCTTCAAGATTCAATGTTGTCAATGTCTATGTGAAACGACGGTGAAGATAGATATGAAAGATTTCCATGACATTTGAAACAGTGTTACCTGATTATTTTTTAATGCATCAGCAAGATACCCTGCTCCTACATCGCCAATGTTATTTGCCTGAAGATCCAGTATTGTCAATGTCTATGTAAAATGACATTGAAAATAGATTTGAAGGATTAGAATGACATTTAAAAGAATGTTACCTGATTATTTTTTAATGCATCAGCAAGATACTCTGCTCCTGTATCGCTAATTTTATTTCCTGAAAGATACAATGCCGTCAATGCCTTTATAAAATGACGACGAAGATAGATATGAAGGATTATTATGACATTAAAAAAATTATTACTTTATTATTTTTTAATACGTCAGCAAGGTACTTTGCTCCTGCATTGCCAATTTGATCGGATGAGAGATGTAGTGTCGTTAATGTCTATGTAAAATAACAGTCAAGACAAATAATGTAGGATTTCATAGAATATTACCTGATTATTTCGTAGTGCTTCTGCAAGATGCTGCACTCCTGCATCGGTAATTCCACAAAGCAAAAGATTCAATGTTGTCAGTATCTATGTCAAATGATGATGAAGAAGATAGATATAACGGATTTGCAAGACATTTGAAAGAGTATTACTTGATTATTTTTTAATGCATCAGCGAGATACTTTGCCCCTGTATCACCAATTTTATTTCCTGGAAGATACAGTGTTGTCAATGTCTTTATGAGATGAAGGTGAAAATAGATATGATAGATTCGAATAAAATTTAAAAGAATGCTACCTGATTCTTTTTTAATGCATCAGCAAGGTAGCCTGCTCCAGCATCGCGAAATTTATTTATTCTAAGATTCAGTGTTCTCAATGTCTATGTGAATTGATGACGAAGATAGATATGGTGAATTAGCATGATATTTGAAAGAATGTTACTTGATTATTTTGTAGTGCGTCTGCAAGATTTTGTATTCCTGCATCGGTAATCTTATTTCCAGAGAGATCCAATGTTGTTAATGTCTATGTGAAATGAGGGCGAAGATAGAAATGAAATATTTTCATGGCATTTGAAAGAATGTTACCTGATTATTTCGTAGTGCTTCTGCGAGATACTGTGCTCCTGGAGGACCGATGTTATTAATGGAAAGATCTAGCTTTTGTAACGTCTATGCGAGATAATAATAGATTTCTAGATGGTAAAGATGGCTGAAGAAGAAAATAGTTCTACTTGATTTGTTTGTAGTGTTGCAGCAAATTCTCGGGCGTGATTTGGACTAATTTGTGCCAACAAATAATTTAGTTGGTGATGTTCCTAGAGATTGCTATTAGTTTTTATAGTAAGAACATTATTTATTGTTACCTGACTTCTGCGTATCGCTTCAGCCAAGAATTGAGCTCCTATGTCTCCAATAGTATTGTTAGAAAGTTGCAAGTTTGTCAGTATCTATTGAAGAGATATAACAAAAATTTGCAGAACTTCTCCTGGAATCAAATTGTATGTTACTCGATTGTCACGTAGAGCTTTCGCTAGATGTCGAGCCGCTTTGTGTCCGATAAGATTGTCGGTGAGATTCAATGCTATTAATGTCTATGGGAACAGATCGTTCAGATTGAATGTGTTAGAAATGGTGAAGATAGAAATCATTTACTTTGTTATCTTGTAGAATTCCAGCTATATGTTGTGCTCCTTCGTCACCAATTTGTTTCCCAGTAAGATCTAGTGTCGTGAGAGTCTATATGAACAAGAAATAAGCTTTGACTATGGCATGTTTATCAATAGTAAATTAAAAACGGATCGTTGATCTTTAGACATATGATGCATCCATATGTCTAACAAGGTTTGATTGTTTAGTGGCTCAAATCTCGTAGCAGTACACATTATCTCTTGATGGTAGAGATTAGCAAGTATTCTTCATTAACTGTTTCGTCAAGGAATATTATTAAGAGAATTATGGTATTTATGATCGTTTTAATCATATGAGATATGAGAAGGAAAAGATACCAGAATTCTTAAGTAATCGAAAGAGTTATTTTCTGAACAGGGTCAGAGTGAATTAATTTATCGTCAAATGAATGAAATACAAAAAAAAAGGATAGCAAGATGTTACCTAGATAACTGCTTCATCTCATGACTTCGTGAAATGATATTCTTTATCTTTGATATTATCTTATATCATTTCATATTAACATACGATGCCACTCACCTGATCATGAATATATCTTCCAAGATCGGGTAAATGATTATTGCAAAATTCGCACGTAATTGTGGCCATCGAAGGATTTATGTTGGACAAAGGCTGGTCTACAAATATGTCAATTCTTGGAAGTGCATTTGATTCACGGAAAGACGCGGTCTGTCTTTGTGGTTGCCTATGACTTTCGATTGTATTTTGTACAACAACCGCCTACAAAAAGAAACATAGAAGACATTTTTGATGACACATGTTCGTCAGATAATTGGACATAATTTTCATATCCTATTTATAGACTGTAGACGATAGAATGATTTATATTCTAAAGAAAATATTCTTGTCAATTGAGAGAAAGAGCAGCAGAAATATAGAAATTGACCTTCAAAGCAGCAATGGTACTTCCATATTTTTATTATAGATTTACTCAAGCTATTCTCTCGCAAACTAGATTTACATCAGAATATTATATAAATAGTAGATGATGTCTGCGTGAGATTCATTGTTGAAACTTTTTGCTTTTTTTCAAGACATTCAAAAAATCTATCATATGATGTCTTCTACGGGTATCTTCAGAAACTCAATTAAGTATCAGCATAGGAGAGATTGGGGGTATAGGAATCATGATAGATAAGAAATCCTGAAAAAAAACATCTAATCGAACATTCAAGATGACGAACTATTTTTGAAATATCTTGTTTTTAGTATCTTAACTCTGATCATTTAATAAAAAAACAACTAATTTCTATTTATGGTACCTTTTTATTTTGCATGTCGTTGTTTTGAATATCATTAGAACTAGATATTGATAATAAATGTTCATAAATAAAATAAATAAGATTAAAACATTCTGAGAGCATACCTAGCTGCTGCCCATCGTTTTTGTAATTCTAACAATGATTGTTTCAACATTTTAAATGTTGGACGAGCTTCTGATTGTCGATGCCAACAACGAACAATTATATTCCATAATGTTTCATCACAATTTTCAGGTCGATTTAAGATTTCTCCTTTGAGTTTATATCGACGAACTTCATTATCATCTTCAATTGATGCATAAGGTAATTGTCCTTGTGAACAAGCTTCCCACATTAGAATGCCCATTGAATACACATCTGATTTTTCAGAATAATTTGATAGACCTGAATTTTGAAGAATTTCAGGTGCAGCATATCTCAAAGGAACGACGACAAGTGTTGTCGCTGCTGTACTACCAACAACAGAATATAATGTGCTAGCACGTGTTAAACCGAAATCAGTTAATTTGACTAAGTTCTGTTGAGGATCAACATCATTGAATCGAAAAACAAGTACATTACGACAAGCTAGATCACCATGTACAATACCATAATCAGCAAGATAGACCATTGCATCAATAATTTGTAAAAATATTTCTAATAAAACTGATTGTGATGGTCGAAATTCATTTTCTCTTAAAAGTTCTGCAAGATCACCTTCACTTGCATATTCTTGTACAAGCATAAGAGAATTAGCATCATTTTCAACCATACCATATGTATGTACAATATGAGGATGACAACCAAGTTGAACATAATATGATGCTTCTCGACTTGCTTTAGCTCCGTCGATTTTGAGTAGAACAACAGCAGGACCAGGTTTTGATATCCATTCAGCTCTATAAATAGCTTTACCAGGTGCTTGAAAGATTGCTCGTCTTTCTGCTTTTTTTATATCAACACCAAATTTGAATAAAAAATGTTTTTGTGATGATGATGATTTGAATTCATCAATTAATTGTTTAACGGTATGATTTGGTCGTAATGATTCGATAGTCATTGGTTCACGTGTTATTGGACTTGTACCATTTTTTTTAAGCCATGTTATAATTGCATCTCGTTCATATGTATGACCATCTTGACCAGTAACTGGTTCACGAAATAATTCACATGTGATAGGACATTTCAACGTATCCGTATTTGGAATGATAAACATTTTTCGTTGTTTTTGTCTTTAATGATATTTACCTATCTATAAGAAAAATAAATTACAACCTAATAAATAACAAAAACCATTACGTTATTCATTCACCAATTGTGGTTTGTAAGTGAAAACAAACGAGAAAAACAGGATAATAACGTTGATTGTAGGGACATCACTGCGTGACATGCCTTTTTTTTTCATTTTATTTCGGTGAAAAACGGGATGTTTTTTTCGTTAAGAAAAGGAAGAAAAAAAAAGAATGGTTTTGCTTCGTGCAACACATGACTGTATTTCTGTATCATAACAATATCTTTGACCTTAAATATTTTTTGAAGGATGACGACCAAAAATGGCAAAAAACATCTTGATGATTCATAAGTGTTAGAATATTTTTTACTTCAGTTTTTTACCTTATGTAAGCTCGTAAACATAAAATTTTTATTTGTTTCAAGACGAATGAGAAATCTTGTTTGATAAAACATCATTGTTCTAATATTTCAGCGAATCCCATGTTTTAAATATAAGGTTCAATCTCTAAAAGGTAATAATTAAAATGACTTCTTATTAGCTTCAGCGTGAAATTTTTAAATGCTAGCACTTTATTTAACGTCTCAAAAGTTAAATTTATAGAAATCATAATTAGAAAAACTTTAATATTTATTAACGCTCTGATTTGATCGAACACGATCTCATATCCAGAGATTTTTCATGCTGTGAATCAGAAGAGAAGGAGTTTGTATATGATAAATGTCATGCTGAGATACTAGCCACTTAATTTTAAAACAACTCATACTTAAGGCACCGCCTCTCTCGAAAAAGACACTTTTCGTCAAAATCAATGAAATTAAGATAAATGCAGGAAAAGGTAGTGCGTCAACTGATCTCTCATAAACAACGAAAATTTTTACTAGGCACGCCCTTTTTCCAAAAACTTTTGAAGATTTCTATCACCCCCTATTCGAAAAATAAGTTGTTCTTGAAAAAAACAAAAAATCTTTTCCGTTTTTTCTCATTTTATAGGTTTTTGACCGTATTTTCAAGATTTTTTGAAGGAGTCTCATTGCAGCCATTAATATCTTTCTTGTTTGAAGGCTTGTGCCTACGGGTAGTCTCTTTCGAAGCCCTCTTTTAAAAAAGCCCTTCATTTTCATATAAGAAAATACCTCTATAAAATCAGAGCCATTTTTACGGGTTTTTTGACTCATTAAACTTGTCATTCCGTTTTTTTCTTAAAAAGTAAGAATTTAAAAAAAAAAGGGTCACCAGAGTTGCTAGGCCTAGAGACAAGCAATCAAACAAAAAAATGTTAATGTATAAAATGAAGGCCCACAGAAATTTTGGAGATACCCAACAGCTATTTTTGACCCTTGTTTAGTGAATATCTCTGTCAAATACCATGATGTAGGGCTGAAAATTTTATCATAGTCATCGCTCACCAGCTTCAACATATCTTGAAAGTTTCATGCAATTCGGATGTTCCTGGACTGAGATCGACTCTTTAGGGAGACCTTAAGTGATTTAATGATAGACGGTAGGTGAATTTCATTCGACTTTGATCTTTTCACTAGGAAAAAGATATTATACGAAAATGAACAGCTTTCATAATGTTTGATCACAAGTTTTCCTGCTCGAGATATCCAAGTCTGTAATTGGCTTTTCGAAAATACGTACTTTATTACTGGATCAAAAAATCTCTAGTAGGTATGTACTTTCAATCATCACCGTTCATATCAGTTTAGTCAATGAATAAATGAGAAACTTATGGTGACGGCCAATTTCTCTATAATTCAGATATCTTTCAGCTAAGAAAAGTCAAAGGGACTAATCTACCAGTGAATATCGTAGGTTCTCATACATTCATCATCAGTCTCATCTTTTCACCTCTAGAATCAACTGATAAATAAAAAGATTGAACTTAATTAAGTGAAATCAGCAAAAACTAGTCCATTCCTAGTTGTTGATCCAAGATAATAATTGCTAAAAATTGAGACTTAACACAACAAGCAACTATGTACTAGAAACACTTCGATGTTTCAGTCGTTTTTATTAAAATTTTGATTCATTCAAAATATAATTGAGTTGAAGTATTAACATTTGACGAAATAAAAAGCTTGTTGTTTTCTTTTCATTTCTGAATAAAGATCTTTAATGTTCAGCCATAAAGCATCAGCATATAACAGTTTTTTGTATAACTTTTATGTCGGACGACTATATGATTAGTATTATAATGATGATAGTATAATGTTAGTCTACTAACACTAATCCTAGAGATGTGATATCGAGCATAATCATTCTATAATAGTGAAATCGGAAACATATTAATGAAACACAGTGCTAACAGATCTTTTTTCCATTATTAAATACTTGTACACTAGTAGATGTTAGTTATATGACAAGAACAATCTTGACTGTGCTCTTCAAATGCTTCTTGGTGGCTTAATCGTCAAATTGACTGTTGTGTGTGTGTGTTCAACAATTTTACTGTTTTTAATTATTCATTGATAAACTGTTGCATCCATAGTAATGGTGTCGTAAACAAATGAAAAACGGCGTATTCATTGTATGAACTCTTACCATACTTTGATGTAATCGATCATCCCATTTTACATGGTGTGTTTTCACACTCAAGCAGACATTGTTTTGTTAGTTATTTTCATCGAATTGGAGAACGAAAGAACGTGTCAATGTAGTCATACGATTTTTCTAAGTCTTATCTTATTAAACACTGTTTATGATGCCATTGTCTCGAATCTTGTCAGTAACTTTTTATTCATATTTCATTTCTATTTTGGTACAAAACTTTGAAATTTGAAACAGTTATTCAACTAAAATATAATTAGGACTGAAATGTCGTAGAATTTTCAATTTAACAAACATGCAAAGCATTTATTATTCATTGAAGTCATTTGAAATATTCTTATAATGAAAAACAGGATATAAATGAATAACACTATTCATTCGAACCAAAACAATCGATAGATAAGAGGAAATATATTGAAGTTGTTGATAAACAAAGATCAATTTTATTTTTTCACAAATTCGAAAAAATAAATCATAATTTTTCATCACTTCTTTATGAGTTTATTTGACATAATTCAAATAATATAGTACGTTATAATGATTGATCATATGAACGTCATATGAGTTTATGAAGAAAAAATAAAGAATATTGATAATATAAAACAAAGATTTTTGTTTAACTCAAATATCATGTACTCTTACATGATAAAGATTTTGTTTTTCTTACTAAGTACTGATAAGTCTGACTCGATTACTATTTATGGCAGGAACCATTGAGAGACGAACTCAAACATATAATTCATCTATGCAAATATCTCATATTTTGCAAAATAGTTTCAAACTTTTATTTTGATTTGTGAAATGTTAAAAACTTTGATGATTTTCCATCAGACTCGTTAAAACCTTTAGAATAGTAATTCCTAGAACACACAAAAAATTAATAATTTAGATTTGTTTTTTTTTGAAAACATACGTCAGTTTTCTATTTCAGTCTTTCTCGAGATTGGAACATTCGGAATAAAATTCAGTTTTTTCTAAAATACTAAAATTATTGTGGATACTTTGTCTATGTAAGAATTAATAAATACTCAATTTCTCTTTATCTATCAATGATACAGTTAAATAATTCAAATATTTTTTCTGTGGAATTGACCGTTAGACAATATCAACGATTATTTACCAGTGTTTGTATAACATGAATATCAAAATACTACTACTCATATTCAGATATCATTTTGATATTATTGTCTTCCTAACTTCATTATTCTAGAAAATAAATCGTAAAACATAATGTCAAATATTTCTATTATTCTTGTTATTCTAGTGAAGAGTCTTAAACATAGTATTTTCTTTATATTTATTTCAAAAAACTATTTTCTTAATACGGAAATGTCAAACGAGTAAGATGATAATTGTTCATTAGTTTTCGAATATATTTTTCATTTATGTGATGAGAAAACTCTCATTAAAATAAAAATATTGAACACATTCGACTATGAACTCATCTGAGTTGTGAATCTATTGAGTCCATTCATGGTATTATCGCTAAGCCTAAGTCTACAAATTGAGCTGCTGATGTTGCATCACAAGAGCAAAAAATTGATAGCTAAGTTAAAATATTTCTTCTACGCATAAATTAATTTTTCGAAAATCTTTCGTCTAGTTATTTATCTATTTTTGTTATTAGTATATTTCATAGAATTATTTTTCTTTTTTTTGCCATATAAAAAATATTCAATGCTTAAAATCTGGCTGCACATGATACTTATAGTCTTATTTATCCAATGATAGTTCGAAAAAGATTTCAGTTCAACACATCGTTTTAATATTAGTTTTTCTATTAATCATATTCATATTTATAGTTGCCATATGCTCCTGCTCAACATCTTTACGTCACTGTTGATACATCACAAACCGATTATTCTATTAATTCGTGAAATATATGTCTACATTAAGAAAAAAAAACAATTAACACTAATTCTATCATCTTGTATCCTCTTAGTCTTTCCATATCTTACTTTGTTCTTTTCATTTATGAAGTTGTTATATCTTTATGTTCATATTTTCTTGTATTTCCTTTATTTTTTGGTCTCTTGTTATATGTCCATGAACAGATGATACCGTTCACTAGCAAAGGATGGAGATGTTAGGTACAGGTGCTATCTGCAATGACTACTACTTTCCTTCTTTCTTTTATCTCTCCATTAGTAATTAGACCTACTTATGTATTGTTTACGTTATGTGTGACAACTTGTTAGTATTGTTTGTTATTGTTGATATAAAGTAGTATTTGAACAGAAAGATAGTCAAAAATCAAGACAAGAAGTTTTCTTAGTCACAACAGACTAACAATGCTGTTTAAAATGCAAAAAAGATATATTTTCTGTCAATGTTAGAAAGTGTTATGAGTTCTATCTCCAAAAAAACAAAAAAAAAAACAAAAAACAGTGCAAATCTATATATGACTTGAGACTGTTAAAATATTGTCATCCTCGAAATAGATTTTTTGCGGTAAAATGATCTAATCTATTGTTAAGATGAGCCCAATTTTAATGACTTTTCAAAAACTAAATGAACAAATTATATCAATAGGAACAAGTTTGATGTCTCATACAATTTACAAAAGTAAATAAATCAAAAATGGTAAAAAGAATATTTTATTATGAATAACACCATTTTCTAAATATTCTTTTAGGGTTAGATTGGATCAGATTAGAGATAGTTGCTTACAGTTCGAATAAACTCATGATGAAAATATCTCATAATGATCTTTGATCATTATACAATGAAATCTTTTTTGTTATATATAAATTAGATTTGTTGAGATTATTTTTAGATATATATTCCTTTGCAAAATCATAGTACAAAAATTTATTAAAAAAATGCAATATCAAAAAATCAGTTTCATGTATTTAAGTAAGAAATCAAAGTGTATCAAATTATTTCAATCCAGTAGTCGAAATAAAAGCTAGAATATGAGATGGTTCTGTTATATCACAGAAACACATATCTTCATCATGTAAATTTTTTCTTACATATATATGGGCAAAATTACATCATTTAATGATAGTGGAAGTTTTGGTAAAACAATACCATCATCACGATACAGACTTGATCTTAACACGTCGAAAATAGTTATTGATTCAACAGATCCCATCTTTTGTCGCTAAATACAGAAATATGGTAATAAAAAATAAAATATCTATCTATATAATTAGGGATTATTTAATTATAAATTTGAGTAATTGGTTTATTTAAATCATTTTGAATTTCTTGATGCATTTCTTTAACAATTTGAATAACAGATAATGATCGTTGAACATTATCATGATTGTGAACTTCTCGAACGACTTCAAATTTTACTTTCAACCATTGTCAAAGAATAAGAATATCGATGATTAATATATACTTATCGAAATGTGCCATTTTTATTATTATTTTTTTCGCAAATAATAAAAGTTTTATTGAAAGAAAATCGTTTTGAAACTTTCTTTAGCGAATGAGTAAAAGAATACATCGTTGTTGAATATATCTCTTGAAAAGTTTTCTTTTTTGTTTTTAATTTTAAAAAAAATTCAACAAAAAAAGCGCTAGAAAACATGATAAATTTTTTACAATAGTAAAAAAGAAAAGGATTTTATGATTGATATAAATTATGATATATCAATTATTTGTCAAGTGAAGCAAGTATTATTTATACTACATTTTCATGATATATCTATTTCTGTAAGCACTTACGAATGTTACAATAAAAGAGAACATCAATCAAAAACTATCTATTAATATGAGACAAAAATAAAAGATCAATTGATAACATTTAATTATTTTTTTCTTTAATTATCTTCTTCATTTTTCATTATTCTATGTGCTCTTTTTTTGATCGAAATATTTAAAAATGTTGATGTGTTTCTGAGATTATTTGCATGCATATTCCTCAAATGTGATATTAAATTGATTTAAAAAATCAATCATAAATTTATTTTATATTTATCTAAATCTTTATTTTGAAGAATATCATCCTTAGTAAATGATACTTACAGTTTGCCATGTTTTTTTTTCTGTTTTTCAATTAAATTAGTACTCATTTGACAATTTTTCATGAATATAAAAATTTTCTTAATATTTTCTACATTAATACCAAGACACTAGAGGTAAATAATGAAATCACAAAGTAACTGGTAATTTCAATACTAATAAAATATAATATTTTAATCGCAAAATTTGTGCAAGTCGTTTGCTTATTATTTTTCAATATTGATAGGACAATATCTTCTTGATGTCTGCATGAAATATTGAACCCATCAAATGGACATACTGAAGATAATAAATTTGAAAAACAATTATAATTACTAAAAACATTCTGTCTACTATTATTGTTTGTATTAGAATAATTATTAATAAATTCTGCATTTTGTTATGTTATTGATATTTGTTGAGCAACAGAAGGAACAATATTATTTTCTCGTAATGGTATAATAATAATTAATGGAAAACCATATAGAAGTATTTTGGTATCAATATAAAATTTCATCAATTCAACAGCTGTTTGAGCTATTTCAGGTGAAATAGTTATGTATTCAACTATATCTAAGTATCTTAATTGTAGTTCAGCCTATTAAAACTGAAAAAGTAAAGAAATGTTCATTTGATTTTCTTACTTACAGAACATAAATACAAGTCTGATGAAGTATATGCAATAAACCACAAATACGATATGAATGATTATATGATTTAGAAAAATAACGTACAAATAGTATCATCATGTCTTTGAAATACTATCACAATATTATTATACTCATCATGTGTACGTATTAAAATATCATTTGTTGCTTGAGAAATTTTTAATGTTAATGGTTCATCATGATGCATAAAATATATGAAATACATAATATGAGTAAGACTCAGATAATTACATGAATCAGTATTGTATTCCATAGCTACTTGATCCATTTTACGCTTAGTATGTTTGTGAACATCTTCTGGCGACATACATGCAGAAAATATAAACATTTGAATAAATAAATTATAAGAAAATTAGAAAATATTATTTGCCATAAATTTTACCATCCAAATAAACCATCTAACCTTAGTTGTGAATTTTCTTCATATAAAATATTCATAATGGTATCGAGCTGTGCATCTGTAACAACACACAATCATAAATTTTCACATATAACATTACCTTTCACTAGTTATCGAAAATAACATTTAGGGACATCCAACAAATATATTTAAAACAAATCTATAATATATATCTTTATCTACTCGATAATGACTAAAAACATGATACAAAGGTATTATATTCATCGAAGGTTCTAAAATACAACAGTAGAAAGAAAAAAAGTTCTATTTCTTCTTTAAATAGTTCGTAGCTAAAAAGGTAAGCAGATGCATCGATTAGTGATGTCGGTTACGAGTATCTTTTAAATTTTCATAAAATCATCGGCTCGAAATTGTTTCGTAAATTTCTTAAAAGTATTAAGCTTAAGAAATTTTAACATAGAAAAGAAAGAAAACCTATTTATATGAAACCAAATGGTAGTATTTCCAAAGACAAATTCAGAATATCGAAAATTTAAAAAAATAAAATATCCATTTTTGTGTCATCTTGTCAACAGAAATCTACAGTAACTATTTTGGACAATGCGAATGATATGTTTCAAAAATTTTGTAACCATCATCGGTGGCGAATCGATCGATCCGCTTACCCTTCTATATGTATCTAACAAAGACTCAACGTAAAATACCTCTATATAATAAATTATATAATTAATAATCATATTGAATAATGGATCTTTTTCTTTCTAGCTCATGTAACAAGTTTTCGACTGTGACCGAACCACTAATGCAACTATGCTCAATCATAATTTGTAGATACTATTCAATTTCTCTGTTTACTCATTCAATCAAATCAATTGCTGTTGACTCATTAGAATCTATACATATAAAAAGAAAATATTTTAAATTATTCAAATTAATTTCATATTTGGTAATACTGGCATATCAAACAATAATACTAAAAAAAATTAACGGAATATTCTAATCCAAATCTAAATTCAAAACTGTTCGCGAATATCAGTAAGCTACATCCGATAATACAACAACTATTAAATGCATAAGAGGCAGCTTTTTAAGATGATGATATTTTGAAGTATGACTATTATTTCATTGAGAAAAATATCATTATTTGCCGTAAATTTTGTGCATTCAAACATGATTGATGGGCATGTATCATTTCGTATTTTTTATTTTGAGGATAGAACTTTGGATATGTATTTTAACTATAATGTATTCTACAATGTCAACGATTAGATTTGAACTAATTTAACACCTTTCTTGCAGAAAATGTGCACTTTTGTTAATCAACATTCAAAAAACAATAAATGTCAAATATTCAAGTATGAATATGAAATGATAGAATTTATAAAGCAGATGTCAAGACAAAATTAACTCATAATCTAACAACAACAAAAAAACAAGCTATGTAAATCATATAACAGCTGTCCCATGAAAAAAACTTTTGCAAAAAACTGCGTTTGAACGCGTTCTTTTTCACTAATAACACAAATAAGACGTTTGATAACGCATCTGTCTCGATGGGTTTTTTTTAATTATAAAACAATTTTTTCTCTTCAAAAGTCCTTTTCTATCTGTGTATCCATATTACTTACTTTATCACATTTACATCATTTAGTTGCACATCTTTCAGTTACTTCTTTATCAGCAAGTATAAAGATTTTCTGAACAGTATATTGTAAACAGTACAGCAAAAGTTGCAATATAACTGACATAGTCCAGTGTTCTTTCTATGTCATACTTAAATATTTTGTGAGACTGTACTGAAGCACTTGACTATAACAATAATACTTCCACTTTTACTGTACTAATTACGATATACTATTCTCAAACTCTTTGTAATTGCTGATATAAGGGTTGTTGAGAAATGTACAATTAAATGATGTAAATGTAATAAAATAAGTAATATGGATACACCGATAGGAAAAAGCTTTTGAAGGAAAAAAAAATGAAAACCTGATCTTTTCTAATTAGATATGTTAAAGATGATTCAGGAGAAAACACTCAAGTATATTATCTTATCACTTTGCTTCAACTTCTTCGGTTTCTACTAGAACTATATAATGACAGTGTCAGAATTTTCCACTATGCTAGATCTCAGCTTAAGGACATGGGATCAAAATGAAACTTATGGAGGATAACGTTGAACCCATATGATGAGTTTATATTTTTAAAAATTGGGGATTGGAGTTTGCAAAAAAGAACATTTTCCTGAGCTATCCCTAGGTTTTTCTTTTGCTGTTAGTAATATTCTAGTTTTGAGAATTTAATAGTAAGCTACATCGAATTTTATCATCATATTTTCAAATTTTATCTAAAAATATGAACTGTTCAGAAGTTATAGTGTTTTGAAAATATGTTAAAATTTCAGTAACTTGTATCGAAATTCAGAACGCTATAACTTCTAAGCAATTCCATAGTTTTAGATGAAATTTGAAATCTGTCGATAAAATTCGATGTAGATTACTGTTATATTCTAAATAGCAGAATATTACTAACAGCAACAGAAAAACCTAGAAGTACCTCACGAAAAAAAATGTTTTTTCGCAAACTCTAATTGTAAACTTGTTTTTGATAAAAACTCGCCACTTGGGTTCAACATTATCCTCTATAAATTGCATCGTGGTCTCATGTTCTGAAGCTGAAATATAGTATACTGGAAAATCCTGGCTCCGTCACTAGAACTATAACTGGGGCTTTACAAAATCAAAAAAAATACCATTACTTTTGTATCAAAAACATGAAAGACATCATATTTCAGATTATGAAACGGCAATAAAAATTGATCTATTTCAATTT